AAAAATTCTACAGATTTATCAGGCAAAATTTCTGACAAAAAATATCTATGTTACGTGAAATAGAAATTTGTATTATTTTTTTTTTTATAATGCCGACTATATTATTGCCACAAAATAGGGAAATTCTTAAATCTGTGCAATTTTTCGTGCAGAAAAATCTGTTATACTGCCACGAGTAAACATCTTGACAGTAACACAATATATATAAATTCTATTAAATTATAAATGTTTAAAAATTACCACTGAATGTATGAATTATGTTTTCTGAAATTATGAATAAAATTATGAAATCCTGGTCGTTATTTTGTATCATTATTAATATATTTGCCTTTTTCATTTCCGGTATACAATAAATATAGAAAAAGTGGGATATAAACAGATACATCATGCATCCCTTTAATAAACAAAGCTTTATGAATAAAATTCAGCTATATTCAGCTATATACATAAGTATAAAAATTATTTTATTCTTTAAGCATATATTTTCAATTTTGGAATTCAATGAAGGATTGGTTGAAAAACTATCATATTTTTTATCTTGGTAATAATAATTTATCACTGCCACTTTTTATATATAGTACTTAGCTCACAAAAAATGTTCTATTATATAAATATACTCTCAAGGATATTTTGCTCTTCATGTAATAATAATTTAATGAGTTTCTTTATAATTTTTTTACTTTTCAATTTACATTAGCCATTGCTAAATTAAACGCATTTAGGCACTATCATCCGAGATATTTGGATCAAAGTCTAGGTCATCATCATCATCATCTAAATCTAAGTCATCTAGATTTTGGAACAAACTCTCATCCACTTTCACAGCATCACCTATAAAAGCATCACAATAAAAGTCAAATATTAGAACACTAACATCTTTTGGAATAGAATTAAAAGATAATTTCACAAGTTACCATCATCCAAGAATTTAAGATCCGACTGATCCAATGTCTTATCAGTCATAAATAGTTCTCTTCCTGTTAATTTTTTGCCTTCGCGTTCTGCGAGTTCCTTTCGTTTCTTATAACCCATTTCCTCGTCAAACTTTTCTTTCCAACTTAAGAAAGTTTCCACAGTTACACGAGTTCCCTCAAATCGTCTCTATAAAAAATAAAATATTTTACAATCATTGTTGATTTTGAAATCTACTTCAAATATCTTACTCTTTCAGCTTCTTCTTCTTCTATTAGTTTTTGCGCAGCTGTCTCTTCTCTCTTCAATTTTATTTTATCCCACTGTACATTAAGCCATTCTTGTGCTGTACTAACTAATGTAAAGACCATTACCATACCAAGGTTCTCACTCATCTGTTCTGCCAGATGTGCTTTTAACTTCTCATCATCACCCTCAAAGTTTTCCTGTTCTGTTATTGATATATGCAATGGTTCATCAGGGTATTTTGATGTGTATGTAAACTCTAATCGACAACTAAGTCCATTTTCAGTTTCAGGCTCGTATTCTTCCGTTTTAATTGGAATAGCAAATGTATAAAACGGTTCTATTGCTAGAACTGTAAAAAAAAGTACACATCTAAAGTTCTTGTAATAAAGTGATGATTTTTTGGAACTTGAACGTGCCATTGTAGGTTATGCAATACTTTGATCAGACATACTTTCCAGTTCTCCACAGTAAATTGACTCCAGAGCCTCGATTTCATTACGCTGTTCATCTTTGTAATCCATATTTAACCAAATAGACACTATCTTTATAGAGAGAGAGCGAACATTACTGATTAAAACATATAACTCATAACTTTCAAGCAGCTATCATATGCTATAGTATATACGTAAATTGTTATAGATGTTTACACGCGTGTAGAGACACGCACGTGACCACTTAATGGGTGTTTGATTCCTTTTATTGCTGATTAACTTTTACGTATTTTCAAATTAGATTAATACCATTGTCAATAAAAACATTATATATGATAATATACATTAATATAGATCAAGAATATAATTAGTCGCAAGGGCATTTATTCTTCTGATAAATACATATAAAGTTTATCGAACTTACCAATCAATTGGTGTATCCAGGAGCTCATTGAGCGCTCAATGTGCTCTTGTACCCGATTGGCATATTCTTTTAGATCTAAAAATACAATTAAAGAGCTCACTGAATGGGGCGGGCTCCGATAGCCCACATAGGTGATTGGCTAATCTAATATAAAATTTTCTAATTAGTGAACCAGCGGAAAGACTCTAGGCACCGACTGATGCGAATGGATGTGTGCTAACGTGAAATAAAGGGACCTATCCTACTGAACGCCCAGTGAACGCAGGTGTAAAGTTGCGTTCGGGAATCCACATTGTTTACACAGGAAGATCCCGATTGACCACCGCCAACCACAATCGGCCGTGATTTGGTGATTTTCTAGTATCGTCCAATCGGGTCCCACCCTGTGCACACCGCCAGACACCAGCTGTTCTGAAACATTCAGACTATATTCGAAACGTCATTCTTTCATGTATTTTTTGTGACTTTATTGACTGAGATCACGAAAGCGTACAAAACAGCGATGTTCCCGAATGTTACCTCCTAGATACCTCGGGAACAACGAATTCTTTTTTTTTTATGATTGGGAAATAGACGGATTTGGGCAAGCGCTATTGCAACACGACTAAAAAGGATAAGATTACGATGGCGCTCTATCAAATGCGTCATGTGTTTCTCAACGCGTCTATCTTCTTTTCCGTCTTCACGTAAGGTACATGGTCTGAGCGGTCGGCCGGACTTAAGCCCTTCGATGGGATGACTTAAATAAAGGACCATCTAACGTACGTTTTGCGATCGGAGTAAATGGGCTTCTCCGGACCCTGATCTGATCTGCAGACCTGCCAGTACGTTTAGGCCTCGCGAATGCGCGAATATGCGTTGTTTCTTGCGTCCTCTTCCAGGACGTAACACGAATATAGCCTGGGTGTTTCAGAACAACAACTAGTCTGGAAGTGTGTATACAGTGTCGATTCCCGAACACAACTTAACATACGGCACAAAAAGCTACGCAACGACACATTCCTTAGCCGACAGATGGTTACAGAATACTGCTACGATACAGGATGTATCAAACGCTTACGTTCAGCAAAGGAAACAGCTTTACAACTGTTGAAAATTCGTGAATCTGATTAATGTATGCTATTATATAGCGTTTTCGATTTTACATATTTTACATAGATAAGTTATCAGGTAAAATATTTTCCTACGTGAGTTATCAAAGTTGTTCACTGTCTCTTAATAGGATATCTTTTGTTAATATACTGACATATTACACGTGTCTAGTTTGTAGATAGTTTTGTGTTATTCACGATTTTCGCGAGGCAGTTTCAATCTCAGACACAGCGTCCATAACAAATTAGGAAGCTCCAGAAATATCAATATGAGAGAGCGACACTGCCGTTCAATGTTAGAATTTCGACGCCTCAGTTTTTGTCGGTAAGAGTAGATGACACAATAACAACTGATCAATAGTGAGTAAGTGTGGATAACACAATAACAAATAATCAATAGTAGGTAAGAGTGCATAACACAGTAATAACTAATCAATAGTAGGTAATTTAAGTTTCTGGGGATCAGTAAGTTTCCAGAGTCGATAAAATTCCGGGAGTCGGTAAGTTTCGGGGGGGGAGCAGTAAATTTGTTTATTGTGCATCGCAGAAGCAGAGCGAAATTTAAGGATTCCAATTTTTGGATAAATTCAAGTAAACATGGTACTTCATATTTACGCATTACATATGAACCATACTGCATTCTCAAAGCAGTAGATGTCAATAGGTTTGATCTGCATTACGAAGGTCTGAGTAACCTGTGTGTAATCTCAATAAATCTCAAGTGGCTTAGCCACAAGAATTGCAAAAATATCAACGACTGGGGTTTAGATAAAATATCAGCCGATTTTCCGGAGTAATTTAACATCTCAGGCTGTGAGAAAGTCAGGCTGAAAGAAGATTGGAGGCACTATAGAGAATGTTCAATGTGAAGAAATTGACAAATCACAACAAATTTGCTGCGCCAGAGGTAACTTGTATGATGTTAGAAAATAATGTCTCTTAACTTGTGAGAACCCTATCGAAAGATATTAAGCAAGATTACGGTTTGTAGTAAAAGTTTCACAGAAATATTCACCTCTATTTATATGTAATACATACTATTTTTACAATTTCAACTTCATTGCAAATCATCTGTCATTATTGGAAAATTATAGTAAATAAGACATTATGTAGTAAAATTTACAATTTGTTTAAAGATATTCACTTCTTACCAATTAATTGTTTTTCTCGACGTTTCTTCATAAAATGTACTTCAATTTGTAATATCTTTTTTGTAATAGATGACATCTAGTTTTATAGAACATGCGAAGAGAAAATTATCGATCTAGAAAGCAATGTGCTCTGATGTACTTTGTAAAAAATATGAATTCAGTTTATAGCTGCTTTCCTAGCGGAACGGTATTCCTTTATTGTTCCCTTATCGTAGGTATACGACAGTTAGTCAAAATGACTTTTTATTTAAGAGGCTTTATCTTAGAAAAATAATAATTTCCAATATATAGTTAATCGTATCAGTCTCTAATAAATTTATAGTTTGCTCGTAATTGTATTCAAGGACATGAAATATAGAATTAAACAAGTTTCGAATAAACGATGCAACTAGTTGTGTGAAAAATTACGTTCAGTTATACATTAGAACTCACTATAACGGTATGTATATTAGAACTCACTATAAGAATACTTCTGTGATGCTCCTGCAAAGATATATTTATCGCCCGGCCCTGTTTCGAGCTTGTCGTATAGCTGCCTTCAAATTCTTTATGAAATAATAACGACGTGTCCAGACGTCGTAATATTCCATCAATAATGAGATGCGTCGAACAACGCAACAGTATAATTACAAGGAATTTTATACCATCATTGAGGACACGGCATAGAACACTCATCTGCGATCCCGACAATTATCTCGTGACGATTAATTTATGAATTTATGAATCCTTTAACGTTCGCATAAAAGTATGTGAAGTCTCTTTAAATTAGCTCAGTATTAGTTACGCTGAGGAAGATCGACGATATTGTTAACGATGACTAACTTCCGATATATCAGGCTAATGGTTTCGCAGATTAATAATGTCTGTAATTACAAAGAGGGATGCGTGTTTTCGTTTCGCTGCATGATCAGCGCGTAATATATTAATAAAGGTGAAGGGAAGGTGAAAAGAAGTTTCTAGATATTTAATGGATCGCTCAAGGCCAGAGAACCACTTTTAAACAGCGGCAATAATGTAGTTCTCTTGAGTTGAATTCCTTCGACAAGCGTCGATGGCAACGCAAAACGAGGGTAAATGCCAATTATCAGGCTAGACTAATATTGAAAGCGGTCATTTATTATGTAAAACGAGCGTGCGAGACGATTAATGCCAAAATTTCTTCTCTTCACATTGGCGAATCTTGGATTAAAAAGGAACTTTAAGCAAACTCAATTAATCAAGTAAGTCGAGAATTTCAAGTGCCAACAAGTGACCTAGGAGAAGTCAACGTGAATTGAGCCTGACCATCGAAAGGCCACGCGAAAGGAAACGTCTTGTAATAAACGGTGATAGCGCGAATGAGTGCATGAAGAAATCGCGATCTCGGTTGTTACATCTCTATTAAGCAGCTGTGTCGAGAATATGGATTTCCGAAATATAAATATGATGAATTTTTGGATGAACCTGATCTCGGGCAATCTCCTACCAATGACCAGCGACAACTCGTCGTTTCCACTTTTCTGGAAGCTACATGGCGTCCTCGCTTGGTCATTCGTGATGGTTTACGCGTGCGGCTTGATATCTGGCTGCGTCTTTATGCCGGGAGAGAAAGCCTTGACGGACGGCATGATCAGCATGGTTATTATCATAGAAGTGTCTGTGATGATCATGCGAATTCACACGCAGAAGACGTTGGTGCAGGAATTGATCCAAAAACTGAACGACAATTTGTGTATTCAGGATGAGATGATGCAAGATGTTCTGACGACGACCCTGAAGTCGATGAAAGCTCCGTTACAGTTCTACTGGGTCGTCGGCGCGATCGGAATCTGCATGTGGTGCTGCGTACCGTTACCATTGGCTTTACAGAAGAACACCTTCTACTACGTAGATTTGAAGTCGCCAGTGGTCTATTACAAAGAACCGTATTCTACAGTGGTTTTTCTGCTGATCAATATAGTGGTATTATTCAACAACATGTATCTTTTCTTCAAAAAAGTCGCCGTGGATGTATACATGACTCATCTGGTACTGCTGATCACGGTGCAACATCTATACACATCTCGGAAGCTTTTGTCAATATTTCGAAACGCAAATCGGCAGAATAATCACGATGATCTTCGTAAGAATGATTATTCGAGGACAGATCACGCCACGGTAACGGAACTCAAAACGTTATGTCGGCATCATATCTCTGCCATAAAGTAAATGATGTTTTCGAAAATTTGCTCGGCAAAATCGCGAATAACTTCGCAGAACGTCGACTCGAACTTAAATATATATATATATATATATATAAATTTCGGTAAAAATAAGAAAGCGTTTTCTCTGTTTCAGCTTAACATTAATGCTGAAGAAATTACTATCTTTGAATTTCAGCCTGATATACGTGATCGGAGTGTTTCGATTCTGCTCCCTCGCTATCATGATATTTGCAGTGAGTGAATGACTTTTTAGGACTAATTATTTAAAGAATGTGCTCGAAATCATTTAAACAGAATAAAAATGCGTAACATTTTACGCGTTCAACATAAGTTATTATAAATTATAATATAGCAGCGATATATCCTGTGAAACTTTAGATACCATCCGCACCTATTCTCCAAGGATTGGCGGTTATCACCTTCGCGTGCGGTGAAGTAGTCCAGTTGTATATAATATGTTCTTGCGTCCACAAATTATTAGACGCGGTAAGTTTCGTCGAAACACATATCGTTTCTCAATTTCGCTAAATAGAATGAGTGTCAGGCTCTTCATATACGGGAGAAGGCGCGTGTGTATGTGTGTGTTTTACATTTATATTAATATTAATATCAAAAAACTGTAAAAATTAAATCAAGAGTATCAGTTTAATGATTACATTCTATTTTGCATGATTTTTTCCCTGTGTCGAGTTTAGAGTACGAAGATAACGGATGAAGTGTTCCACGAAGACTGGTATCGATTTGGAACGCGCGTGAAACGCATGTTCATATTAATTATAATGGCCAGTAACGTAGGATTTAAGCTTTCAACGTTTGAAAGATTCAACCTCTCTCTTCCTTCATTCATGACGGTAAGATCTTTATACTTATTGTATGGATTACATGTAATTAGTAAACTGCGTAACTTTTTAACTATCTTTCAGATCTTAAACCAATCGTACTCGATTGCTCTTCTGATTTTGAAAGTGACTTGAGAAAAATAAAGGGATATAAAAAATATGTATAGTATAACCGTACATGTTACATATTATTATAAATGCGAGGAGAGATTATTATTTTGGTAAAATTGGCAATTCTTGTTTCAGAAAAAACAAAAATTGTAGTAAAATTAGTAATAAAATCTGAATCAAGATGTGATTCTGAGTTTGATAAGTGTGTATCAAACATAATGACACAGAAAACATGCAAGGTTCTTGTTCTCACATGTTCGTATGTTAAAAATGTAATGTATGTATGTTCTAATGCCGTCGAATTGAGTGAAATTTATTTAGAAAACACGAGCGTCCGACGGAAATCTTAACCGCTCAATCAGACGCAGATAACTTTCTTCACAAAGAAGCGTTATTGGGAACGTAAAATTCCGAAGCGTCAATTCACTAAATGTTCGCACGACTCTTAAACTTACTCTCTTACTTACACTCTTACTTACTCTCAGACAATTTGCTATCACTAGCGCCGAGTGATTCGCAATTTCCGATCAGCTGGAAGTTATTTGCCGTTTTAATGTGGCTGGTTTAAGTAATACAAGTAATCGCATTAATCCCTGGTCTCTTCGTAATGTCGTGTGAGAAGGTTTTGGTTGACGGCACGATTATCGTTGTGCTTTCCATCGAAGTGTTCTTCAATATTGGGCGAATTCAAACGCGCTGAAAACCCATAGATCGACTGATCCAACAGCTAAACAACATCTTACGCAGTGAGGATGAGACCATGAAAAGCATCGTGACGAAGACTCTGTAGCCCATGAAAGCATCGTTCAAATTTTACTGGATGACGGGCGGATTGTCCGTGGCACCTGTGATGCTGCATACCGCTCTCGCTGATCTTCGAAAAGGTGTTCTTCCGTTACGAGGATTACAGGATGCCGGTAGTTCTCCCCAAGCAGTCATTCTCGCTCAGAATTTTCTTGATAGGCGGCATCTTTATGATGATCAGTAACATTTATACATCTTTCTAAAAAAGAGCGGCATAGACATTTACACTTCGTGCTACTGATAACGGCGCAATATCGTTATGCCACGAAGCTCACCGCGATATTTCGAAATACAAATTTACAAGATGATTTGGAAGAATGTTACCCCGGCACAGATCAATGGGTGGATAAAAGAATAAGAGCGTTGAGCTGACATCAGACTGCCGTTTTGCGGAAGATAATGATAACAATTTTGCTCAAATTTGTCTGTGTTCAGAAGACCGAGAGAGATACGTATTAATGGCCCAATTTTAAAAAATTGATTCTAGCGTTCGCCTACAGTAGGTATAACAGGCGGATTCTAACTAAGGAGCTCCGAGGGAAGTGCAGGAAAGCCGAGAAGAAATCAACCCCTAGATGGCTGTGCGGTTCGAACGATTTAACATCGACTTAATCTACTTGTTTAGTGACATCCGGTCACAACAGGGCTAGATAATTTCGCAAGAAAGATTCTAAAAGTGATTTGATGAGCAAATATAATTTTTCCGAGTTCAAATATTGGCCAATCAACATACCGTTTTTCGGTAAGAATTAGAAGTTTATTGGCTACCGCACAAACTTCCGCCGCGCGGCAAACGTTGCCGCGTTCTGCGGGCAGAAGCCATAAAAATTTATTTATTTTCATTAGTGCTAGTAGTGTGTTCCCCGAACACAGTCAAAGAAATATAGACCACACGACTACTGATTATTCTGCGAACCAGCAAAGATGCTTCAAAGCAACAGTCATGACGCATGAATATTAAAAAATGATGCGGTTAATTTGAAGGAAATTTCTGTGGATGTAAAAAGACATGCAAGAAGCAAAGAGTTAAAAACTTACAAAGTCAAAGTCCCTATAGTGATATCATATAGGGACTTCGACATCTATAGATACTTATTTGCCTAGGGAATACAACTTTTTCTGTCCGTATGACAGTAGTACGACTGTAGTGTGACTCAACGGCAAATGAGATGAACTATTTTCAAGTAACACAACCGAACAGCTGGCACAGTCACGGTTTCTGTTTGTTTACAGAGCTAAACGATATTGTGCAAATAAGTCATGTCTCTTTTTCCAGCTTATTCAAATGATACACCTGAATCGACAAGTTATGGAAAGCCTGGTAACTATTTTAAACTTTGATCAATGTTTTAATATAATTGTGTAAAAATTAAAGGTCAATATTCTATAAAATTTTCCCATCATTATTTAAATATAAGTATACTGTATACTGTAATATATAGAGTGATTATATTTTCTTAAAAATATAATTTAATATTTGTTTTATTCTTTGCAGATAAAATTTCTGTTGAATGGTTATCAAATTCGAGCTTTCAAACGCCAGTAGAACTTAGGAAAGAACCAGACTTGTCTGTATATTCTTCATCTGATGAATCTTTACATGATGTAGAAAAACAAATACAACATGAAACGACTTCTGTGGATGTAAAAAGACATGCAAGAAGCAAAGAGTTAAAAACTTACAAAGTACAAAAGACAAACAGAAGGAAGCACAAATATGATGACAAACAACATAAATCAGGATACAAACAAAATGTTAGAAATGTATACTTTGAGGACAAACTTAGAGATAAAGGAAATAATAATATAGATACATTTTGCTCCAGAGTCAGACCATTGTATGATATTAGTGAAAAATATATTGGCTTTGTTAAGCATAAGCAACCAAAAAAGAAAAAGTTCCATAGATATTATATCAAAAATATTGATTCCATTGAGGCGCTGCAGAAGAAAGATACAATTATTAAGAAGACTAATGTTAAAGAAAGTTCAAAGCAAGATAAAGAGATAGATAATGAAGGTTTACCTTCTTGGTGCAAGAATTTGGAACAGGAACAGAAGTCTAAAACTAGAGAATATAATGAACAACTCATAAAAAATCCACATAATGTTGAACTTTGGCTGCAATATATCAATTTTCAGGTATTAAATGTTGTTTTATGATATTTTAATATACTCTAAGCAAAATTGAACTTATAATTATTGTTGTTAATGTTAATTTTACAGGATATTCTGGCTAACTATCAGAGACACCAATTATCAAAGGATACATATCGATCCACAATATTGAAAAAGTTATCTATCGTTGAAAAGGCACTTGAAAAGAATGGAAACTCCAATAAATTATTACAATTGAAATTACATTTCATGAGTGAGTTAACACCCTCCGACGAACTTTCTAATCAGTTGAACGCATTAGTTAATAAAGATTCAGGGAATATAGTGTTGTGGCAGCACTTTATTATGGTCACACAAGCCTCAGTAGCAATGTGTACTGTACCACGAGTTTTGGATTTGTATTCAAGATGCTTTAGTGTCCTGAGACAACGTTCAAGGACGAATCCTTCTCTTTATGATGCGCAACTGCTACGTGAGTAAATGTTTACTCAAGTACTTTGATTTTTGCCATATATTCGTTTCACACAAACTAATTTCTCATATTCGTATTTCATTTAGAAATGTTGCATCAATGTTTAACATTCCTGAGGCATACGGGATTGTGGGAACAGATGTGGGAAACGATACGTTTGAATCTGAACTTAAATCTGAATTTGGACAAGACTAGTTTGTTCCTTCAAGGATCCATAGATGAAAAGAAATTAAGTATGTAATATATATTTAGTAGATTCCTATTTAAACCTTTGCCAAATTACAGAAAAAATAATTGTTTGAAATTATTCATGAGAGACTGTAAGATATAATTGTAGAGAAAAATATCGAAGAAAATAATTTTATCCAGTAAACAGTTGTTATAAAAAATGTTTATGATTTATTAAATGCTTATAATCTGAAAGTATAAGAGATACACGATTCCGTTTTATAATGAGAATTTAACAGGAGTCACTTGTAATATTATAACATTATATTAGTATTACGGATTTTAAAAATAATGCTTATTCCTGTTGTAGTTGGAATGGAAGAGATGATACTGATGTCACGATTACCACTTAATCAACTGTGGCAGAGGACAGAATCGTTGAGAGAGAATTACCATTGGATCAGTGTTAGTAGGGATGAATTGGAGTTGGTTGGAGATTCACGACGATTCGTTCTACCGGAAGACGTAGCGGACTTCGTACACCCGATTCTCTCGTGTAATTCGAATTTCCAAATGGCCATTTATTCTCTTTTGTGCCTGAAAGTACCACTTCTACCTTGTCGAGACTATTATTTAAAGGTAAATTGCGCCATCAAAAGCTTTCAGTACATCAGCTTTGTATGTATATGATCGAAATATAAAATAATATAAGGTTCCAAATGAAATCGAAGAAATCAAGAAATTACAGAAAAGTGAAGATTACGAAAAAACTCTTGTATATATTTACAGGAATTATCGTTAAAAGATTTTCATTGGGGAGTGGAGTCTCTGGAGGCGTTACTTCCCTTCATGTATCCGATGGCAGGTGAAATGGCCGGTCATGATCAAAGGAAGGAATTATTGAGGGACATTCTCGAAGGACGCTTAACGTCGGGCCCTCAATACGTCAAGTTCCACCCGGCGCAAGAACCGTATCTAGATTTTGTGCGTAAAATCTTCCAAACGATCGCGGAAAGCTTACCCTCGCTACAACGCACGAGTATATACGTCTGGTGGTTGCGATTGGAAAGATTACTCGTCTCTCTCGGCAAGGACGAACCCTTGAAACACGACAACAAGTAAGACTTTAGCACATATCTGTTAACAAACGCGAAATCCAATCAGTTAAACGAACGATCAGTCACACGTGCGTCCCATCTTTACAGAGGAAAGAAACTGAGGACGACGCTAAAGGAGTTTCTAAAGAAGGACGAAAACAGGAATAACTTGTATTTCTACAAGGAGTATGCCTTAATAGAGCTGGAGATGGGCAGGTTCGGTAATTGCGTCAACATACTGGAGACCGCCATTCAATCTCAAGGAGCGTGCCCCGACGCGATCACCAACTTGTGCGAAAAGGCGGCGCTCTTCAGCGTATACAGAACGTTCATCGAGACGTTGCTCGATGCCAAAACGTACGACGAGTCACACAGGCAATGGATATTGAAAGTCTTCGGTCAGATGATACCCGGCGAAAGCGCTAATCAGGACTCGCTGGTCGAAGCGTACTTGCACAAGCACGTACACGACTTCTTACAGACCGCGCCCGACGAGAACGGGAAGGATACTTTCTTCTTGTCGAACTTGGAATGCGACGCGATCGTGTGCTATGCATACTTTCTATACATAAAGAACGACGATATTCAAAGTGTCGTCGAAATATTGCGGAGCTGTACCGAGCATTCCAAGGATTGTCCTTATTTACAGGTATCAATTTAACTTTGTCAATTACATTGTGCCCACTGTCAGGCGAATTAAAACGGTCAATGCTTAAACTGTCCGAAAACATATTGTAGGAAATGTTGTATGAAAGCCAAATTGCAATTTTACAATTGCATTACGAAAGGAAACATAGTTTGCAGAATGCGCTGAAAGAAACTCTGAGCGGAGCTTTAAGTATATACCCGAACAATTTTTACGCTTTGTCAGTATTTGCCGTCATAGAGGTAAAAGCACCGACTTATTAATAACGTGTGTAATTAATGAAAACTGTTATAAGTACGTATGAGATAATTAAGTGATTTTATTACAAGTTTAATTAAATTGTAAAGTAATTATAATTGCAGAGTGAATTACCAACGTGGAGGCTCAACAGTAGAGGCACCGAGATTGGAATTTGGAGGGCGGTAGCGATGTGTTTAGCTGCTCGCAGACGTATTGGTCTCTTGACGAAATTCGATTATCTTGATTCGGTGACCGCTACGCTGAATAAGTTGTTGTCCTTCCATTTAACCCTTTCCAAGTATGATATGAGTAGATTTTAACATCTTAAATTTCAATCTCATCAATACAAGACGTTCGATTATTCCGTGTACTTTTCTATTACTTTAGATACGCGTGTTGTATGTAATACTAACAGAGTTGTATTTTCAGGATACCGTCGACCAGATGCTGCCCGTTATTGTGGAGGCTGTATATGTTACTCCTTCGGGAACATAACTTGTGCGAGAAAAAGGGAGAAGAGATTTATCACGAGAGTGTCATGCAGTGTCCATGGGCAAGGAGCATTTACATAGATGCGGCTGAAGTAGCGCCTCAACTTCTTACACAGATTCAGGATGTGATACGAGAGAAAGAATTAAGGATGCATGTCACGCCTGAGGAACTAGATATTCTACGTGGATAATATAATTACTTGATCCTCGAATGAAAAGATATAAAAATCTACATATTCTTTCCTGCTGTAAATGTAATATAAATGTCGTGCCTTAGTAAATCCATTTACTCAGTTTATATAGTTTCTATAGTGACTATAATATATTTATATTTAATTATTGTCTCCTATAAAATGTTCATGTTGCATATTAGTTATTTTCTTGTTATGTTAATTCTTTATCCCATTTATATATTAAATGTAGATATCATATTGTAAATATATTACGCGTGTGATTACGATGATGATAATAGCAAAGAATGCTCAGCTCTGGAAATGTTTGGTTAGCTCAGTGACGTGGTGAAGGAAATTATGTAAACATTTTTCCGGAACAAGCTGTAGGCAAATTTAAAAGGTAAATAATCATATTCTAAATCATATGTATCGTTTTCTTATTAAAGTAAATAATAATAATTTTTTCCCTGTACGTGTAAATTTTTCAGTAACAAAGCTAACCTCAAAAAATGACAGTATTAAACATTATATAGACTTCAATAACAATAACAATATAAGTGAAATACTTTTCTGAAAGCGTGTGGAAAAACCATGATCAATGATAATTGATAATTATCACTTATTATAATATCTTGAAATTCTAACTTGCATTACATGTAATACCAATGCTTGTATTATATATTTTGGTTACAGCGTTACAAACATCTAGTGTAACCAGCATTGCACGTCCCCCGAAAAATGGATTTGAAAGCTGTAGTCGTTTCTGGAGAAGCTCCTGAATCTGATGATGATGCCTCAAATATCGCTACTGTATGTTATTATCTCCGGTTTCATGTATCAGTTTAGAAGGTAATGCAATTAACAGGATATAATATTTACAAATTTTGCTGCAATGCAGGGTTTAGGATTCCCTGCGGTACGAACATCAAATTATTGTGGCACAATCATATCTGGTGAAGCACCAGAATCTGATGATGGTAAGTTTGTCGATACGTTCCTATTTAGATGAGAATTTAATATGATTAACACACTATTTTTATTTACAGATTTAACTAGCTTGAGCAGCATCAGTGGAGCAGTAGATGCCATGGCATGTCCTCCTTACACAGACCTAAAGATACCAAAATCTAAAAAGAGTACCATCAAGTATAATAGTTTGCTTCACAAGAAGTTACGTAAGTAGTTTAATAATCTTAATATTTCGAGATTTTATCTCTGTGCATTAACAAGATATTTCCAAAGACTACGATAAAATGTTGCTTCTTGTTCGGGAATCGTGAGGAGTTCCCACGCGACCGCTGTGCAGTGGTCTGACGGTCCTCGACTCGTGCATAAAATTCATATAATTTCAGAGGACAATTCTATCAAGTTTATATAATAACTTGGTGTTTGATCAAAACTATATAAAGAGAGAACACATATTGAATTTCATTAGATTTGTATGAAGTTATCAGTTTTCTTAAGTCCGGTTTCACCAACGCGAGTGCATCAAATCGATTGATTAAATTCAATTTGTCAATTAAAACTGATCAATCGCATCTATCTAACAGTGATGCGATTGAATAGTTTCAATGGAAGAGCTGAATTTTATCGACTAATTGGATTAATTTGCATTGGTGGACCTTAAAAGCCAAGATATAAAAAAAATCCCAGTGAGCAGAATGTCCAAAATTTGTTTTTCCTCCGGTCTTCTTATTATTTCTACTAACTATTTTTGTTCATATTCAAGAAACAAAGCAGTTTATTGCAAGCGCAGTGTGTGATGCGAATAATTGGCAAGTTAAATTTTTCGTTTTGTGTTTAATTTTTCTGTCGTGTCTGTTCCAACAGCTGTGAAAATTTCTCCCCAAAGCATCTTCTTTCATGTCTCTACATTTATATTTTTTATCGGAAGAAACCCATGTACATTCATATTTCCTATATTCCTCAACTAACTTAATAATTAAATCATTATCCCAATTACTTTCTTATTGTCCTCAACTAACTTAATAATTAAATCATTATCCCAATTACTTTCTTATTGTTAAATATTATTTTATTAGAGATTGTTACGCATCTGACAGCTACACTGTTGTGTTACTGACAACTGAATACCCATACTGAAGGAACTTTTATTCCTGTTGCAACTTGTCGACGTATGTTTCTCATTTTCCTTTGATTTTAACCGCTTCGATTGGAAACACGCAACAAGCAGCAGCTTTTGTCGCTGGCAACAAAAACATTAAGAAACGTCAAGAAACGTTTCAACAACAACTTCAGCAACTTTTTCAAGAAACATGAAACGTCAACAAAAAGTTTCCCGTTGTTGTTCCAGTGGGGACATAGCTCGAGTCCGCGAGCGATTTAGATACCGGAGCGACGCCTCTCGCTCATTTCCTAAGTTCGCTAAGAACTTAATTTCCAGCGCAAATCATTCGCCTCTCGTGCAATCTCGCACAGATCCCGACAAGGATTTAGATATCAGAGCGTCTCACTCTTTTCCACGATATCTCAACGAACGCCTCGCCATCCGACACGGTCACCACGGTGACTGACGAAGTATACGTTGCCCTACGACCGCATCTTGTTGCCTTTCACGAACGTCTCGCGACTAATGTCTTTTCTCGAAAACTTTGATATTCGAATTTCGAATCTCCGAAAATTCGAAGCTCCGATGTTCATTATCTGAATTTCGAAAATATCGAAGCTTCGAAACACCGGAATTATAAGATTTTTACTATATAATGTCTGTATTGTACTATATATGTCTGAATTGTACTCTTCGAAACTTCGAAGATTTTGTAAGCGAACTTTCGTCTTGCTAAAATTCGAAAGTTGGGATTTCTTCGAAACCTCAACATTATTAACAGCTCTACTCGCGACGAGATTTCGTCTCCGATATTTATAAATATTGTTTATATCGTAATCCCGCGTAGGTTGAGTTTCTTAGCGTCCAGCGAGACGCACCGCAGCGTTCTCGGCGCACGCGTGCGTCGGTCCTTCACTCTGACTCTCGTCTTTTTTATAAGGCCCGTCCCGGCCCGACCGCCAGCTCGAAACATTCGAATGAGCGCCGATACTTCTGTTAACATTCTTTTATTAATATTACAGCGGTACAGTGTGCATAACTACAGCTAAACAGTATTATATAAGACTGTCAGTGTGAGCGTGTGTGTATGGAATATCGATAACTTAATTCATTCAGTAATTCATATCGCCTATCTAACTCAATTTCGATCTGCTTGTGTCTAGAATTCGATCGCACAATTATAATATCTATCTAATTCACTGTACAAAGAATGCGTTCTTTTACAAGTTCTTATAAAACAGCGTTTTGGAAAGGCGTTAAATTAGATCTTCGAGAAGTACAAACTGAAATCGATATATACATGTATACCGCTTACACGTGAATTTTGACCATCATATTAAATTGACATATGTTGAACAGACGAATGCAATGAAACCTTGGACAAAGACATTCTGCAAATGACCGAGGGCGTCATCGCAACCAGCGTACAAGAATTGTCGGCTGTTAATCGACAATTGTTGAGAAGCGAACTGGTACTACAAGAGGCTGTGTGTCAACTGCGAAACGCGTCCGGTCGGATAAAGGATGCCTCCAACGCTCTACATCAACTCATAGACGACGACTTCTTGCATTCCATTAAAACTTAATTTCTAGAAATTATTAGTGCGTACTTATGCTCTTAAGATATATTACTCTCATAGCGATGTAACAGGCATGAGTTCCGTAATAATGCCATTTCGATAATCGCGCATTAAATGCGGATATTAAAAAAATGCGTATTCTTTTTACGTCTGAGGACATTGTTGAGCATTACTCTCGATCTTCCCCTCTCCTTTTTTTTGTTTAACTGGCAGTACTATATCGTGTGTACTTTACTTTCTAGCGCATCTTGATTCATTTCGAGAGACTAAGCGTCGATCGATCTCTCTCCCTCTACCGCTCTTCTTCTCTCTTTCTCTCTCTTATACTTCAATTCGTTATAAACTAATTTTCTACGATGGATTCGCGAAATCGAATATACATTGTGCCTGATTTAATGATATATCCGATTAATATAGCAAACGGCTCAATATTAGCCCCGTTGCGTCTTTCTTCTTTTCTTTTTATTTCCGAGTTACGGGAATTTTCAACGTGGCGGTGGCATGGGTTCTAATGTAAATATGTACTATGTAGTTAGTGCGTAGAGAGAGATGTGTTGTAATTATATTACGATATATATATCAAAGAACGTCATGATATTGAAACAGGATATTTCTGCGGAGAGTAGACATACACTTTTAATACGGCTTTAGAAAATGCAAACGTATGTTTGTGTATTACTTCGTTTTGCAACTTTCGAGGATCACATAGATATAAATATGACACTGCTTGTTACGAGAGTGTAAACTGTGTAATCGTAAAACTGGAACGATTTAGTACCTAGTTACGCACGTGTATGCATAATCTTGTCAGAAACACCTGTCTATTTTCTCTCTTTTCTGCGGGTTTCGTTTTTTATCAAATGCACAACTTTGCTTGGTATCAAAGGGCTGATATCGACTTTTTTTTGTCGCTATTACGTCACTAACGTTAGTGTACAATGAGTTGATGATTTTAATGGGGATGGTTTTTATTTTCCCTATAAATTCAGTCTTAAATATTCCATCGATCTTCGTTGAACTAAATCTCGGTATGACGTATCTAAGTACAAAAATCCCATAAACAAAACACGTTTCGCTAATACTTGATATGGCAATATCGCGACGGAATATCCACTTTGAGACCGCTATTTATGTAGCTTCCTTGGGTATATTCAGACAAGTTAGTAGCTAAATCGTGTGTATATAATCTTGTCGGTATGTAGCAAGTACTTACGTTGTATCAAAGCAATTCCATACGCTCACTAAAGATGTAAAGTATTGCCAAAGCATAGTTGTGCCACTGAATATAGTGTATATAGATTAAAAAAATTCTACAAAAAACTTAGAACTACTACTTTTCCTCTATGTATATATGTATAAGACGAAACTATATATTATTACAGTACTAAAGCTGCCGGGTGTGTGAACGTACTCTATCCTCACCTTTCATGTCTCTGTACAACATTTCTATCACTGTGTGCTCGTCGTATCGTGTTTCTGCGCGAGAGAAAATACGAGATCTTCATCACTGATACGTGTGTGCATTGTCGTTTTTTTCGCAACTAATGCTCGTGTTCTCGGTAAGAGTTTTAACTCTATTATTGTGTAAATTAAGATCAGATGGGCTCAATTCCAGAATAGGATCAGAGTTTGTTGCAGCTGTCGACCTTTGTAGAATATGCGACGTCGCACTCTATACATGTTGGCCAATGTGAGGGCGCCCACCCCCCACATGGCCTACGCTCGCTCCATCTCACCACCACTTGCATACATCTGAAGAAGAGCCATGGACTCTTGCGCTTGTCGCTTCTCCGCCAGGAATCTACCTGATGCTTCCTTCAGCTGCTCGAGGAAGAGTCTGTAATATCGCAAGGTAGAAAGAATTAACGATATCCGCCTCCTGAGATAATCATCTTAATACACAATTGCAGGGGACCTACCTGTCAGGCACTATGTCGGCTAAACTATCCGGGTCCATATCGCTGAGCAATTCCAAGTCGTTGCCTCCGAGCAGCGAGATATGCGATGGATCGCCATGCAGCGACGACACCAAGGGTTCGATGGGCGTTCGTTGTCGTCGGATCTTATCGATCCTTGAACTACCCTCCACGTTGTCCACGTCGTCCACGACGATGTAGCGAGACGTCGCCTTGCTGCTTCCCGCCGCGAGCCACTTCTGGTCGCCGTGCAGTACCATCAAGCTTGTATTTCTTTCCAGCGTAGCGAAATACTCTTCATCATCTACTTCTGTTCCTGAAAACAATCATATTTATCCAATGATTAGAGAATTTCATTTCAACTCAATCAGATTTTGAAAGTATTGTAAATGTTGTGACAAACGTTTGTCACAACATTTAACATGTTAATATTCAACGTTATAATATGTTAATATTTAACATTTTAACGTGTCATTTAATTTGTTAATATTTAATATTTTAATATATTGAAATTTAATATACTAATATTAAAAATTTTAACATATCAACATTACCAAAATTGTCACAATAGATTGACATAAGTCTGTTGCGTATATATTGTAGAAGAAAGACGCTTACCATCCTGTTCGAGTACGATTGTCAGGTCCGCGTCCACGGGCAATGCTAGGCGGCTACGCGCGATGTTGGTCAGCTCCTTGAGCGACGAAGCAGTGATGCCCTTCCTTCGCTCCCTGGTGTGGTCGACTATCTTGTAAGGGTTGCCCATTCCCTGCGTGATCCCCTGCGCGTCTGACATCTTTATGTCGAGCGACGAATGAGAGGAAGACCCTTAATTTTGCTGATAATCAGCTCGAGGTCCGGCTTATCGCGTTGCGATGCTGCGGGGATCGACGTCCAATGGGTAAGCGCAAACGTTTAAGTTGGAGGAGAATTCACTTTCTTGAGAAAAACTGACTGCTGCTAAGGCCTGAGATTCTCGTTGCACTTGAATCGTTACGACGGTGTGACCGAAGTTTCGAATGATCCGCGCCGATGACAGAGGCGAGGCGGAGCTGGAGGAATACGCCCTTGCGCAAGACGTAACACTGAACACGGTTGTGCTTATTCTTCTTTGTCTCCTTATTATTCGTAAAAAGAATCCCCTCGACGATACACCAGGAGGAGGCGAGGTGCGCCGCTGTCCGACACCTTCGGATGAGAAATCGTGCCGCTCGAGTGAACGCGGGTATGAAAAGGGCAGTGCTCAGGATTGCATCGGAGCGACCTGGTAAGACTAACGGGGACTCGAGGAGCAAGAGACTCGCGAGGACGTGTGCACACACGCTCGACAATTCGCACGCACAGTGAATGAGAGAGAGAGAGAGAGAGAGAGAGAAAGAGAGAAAGAGAAAAAGAAGAGAAATCAACGAGAGAGGCGGTGGCGGCAGCGGCTGTGCGGCGCGAGAGAGAAAGAGAGAGTGAATGCCTTGAGTGACTGAACTGACCGTGTGTCAACCCAACACTGGGTCAACGGTGCAACTACCCCTTCTATTTATACCCCCTGTAGACTCTCCCGCAGGTATATACGCGAGAGACACCCCGCCGACACACAGCGCACCCCACCCACCTACCTATCCATCTACCGATCCCCGACCCACCGCCGCATCCCTACAGAGAAATCAATAACCTACCCCACTCCCTCTGGCCGCGCTCATTTTTTTATCAGCGCCAGACGAGAAATTTACAAAAATACACCGTGGCCGCGCCGCCGATGCGGGGCGGGACAATGCGACCTCCGGATGTACGGGCGTGCACAATTGATGAAATAATTCGCGGTACCGGCCGATCGATCTGTTTTCTCTGAACTTGAAGAACACGTTTGAAGATGAAAATGTTTCTGCAACGTATATATAATTCAGATAATGCGCCAGACCAAGAGGTTTTCGAGGACCTCTTGTCATGTCGCGCTATGTTAGAGTAATTTTAATAAAAAATTGATCCGTGATATCTTTTTACTTATGCTTTCAGTGATGAATAATTACATCGGAGGAAATGAACGTGTAAAATTTCTCTGTTACCGTTTCTTGTATAAAATAGTCAAATGGTTGGTTGCTCAGGAGTTCACAAATTCTAACTTTTTTCGTAATATTACAATATATATTTTTATATGCAACTTAATGAACTTTATACCGAAAAATTGAGTACAATAATAATTATTTAAGAAATTATATAGATCTCCCTATGTGAATACCAAAGTTTACTAGGATCTTTGAACTTAAGAGACAGCACTGTGGTTAAATTTAGATCAATGAGACTAGACACTGTTTTAAGTTTAAAGTTAGCTCGGACATAGCCCAGTTAGGGCTCCTAGGTGAGCCACGGAATCCACTCGAATGGAGTTAATCATATTTGACGAGGATTTCGATTAGAATCTGGTGCAAGAATGCCGTCACCGAGTGGAAATAAAGAGCCCGACGACAGTCAAACATGGGAGCTAGCGGAGAGGTGTCTCCTACCCATAGCATTTTCACACGCAGTTGCGGTCATCCTGGCGACTATACTCAACACCTTCGGGATCTCACAAACATCTAGTTTCGTGCTTTTCATACTACTTTTGGTCATATCAGTGGGATCCACATTATTCTATCACAATCTGAAGGTGAGATACTTGCGTACATTACACACGCGTCCTTCTGCGAGAAATAATGCCGATACATATCCATTCTTCATGCAACGACATTCTAATCGTGATTACGTCCAATTACACGCTAAATTACACACTCCAATTATCCGCTCTACTTATCTCCTTTGTGGTAAGCGTATAAAAAAAAAAATTTAGGACAACACAAAAGATTCGTGTTGTTCACTTTGACCCTTGGTAAACTGAAATCGTGCTTTTATGGTGACAAAATTATGCGCCCCCGTCAACCTTTCATATCCCCTATAATGTCAAGCACTTACAAGTATTTGAAAGTTCAAAGGCCCTTTGTGGAAGAGCGGATACAGAATTTTACACTAGGACTGATCCAAACCTTTGACCTTTTTTTTGCATTATACCGACATAATGCACCCGTCATCGGTGCATGCACCGTATTTCCTGTGTTTTATGGTTTTTTATAAGACGCTTTGAGACTTTTATCGTTCGATCAATGACAGGTGCCTTCAAAGCATTATGAACCTCTACCAACGGATTACGGATTTTACAAATTCATAAGCGTTGGTTCTTTAAATACGTGTAACAATCTACTCAATGCAACAGGTTACTGCAGCGGGGAAGGCAATACTAATCACAGGTTGCGATTCACGAGTTGGATATGCTCTGGCTAAACAGCTGGACGACTTGGTAATACATGTGTGAAGTATAGTTGGCCAATTTGACGACTTCGAGCAAACGTCTACAGTCTGTCTCTATTTCAGGGCTTCACTGTATTTGCTGGATTTGCTAATAAAGGCGAGAACGAGGAAATCATGCAGAAACTGAAAGATGATGCTTCAGGAAGATTGCACGTGCTGCAGTTGGACGTCACCAGCGAACGTGATATACACTCTACCTTTCTCTACGTCAACGAGAACTTGCCCGACGGAGCTCCTGGTATATCTCTTAAAGCCCCTTAAAGTTATCAGTCTTTTGCATAACGGATCATTCCATCCGTGTGGATGCGTTATTTCAGGACTGTGGGCACTGGTGCATGCTGCTGCTTGGGTAACTCTCGGAGAATGCGAGTGGGTTCCCCCGTCTGTTCTCAAGCGAAGCATAGACATCAACTTCATCGGCCTGGCACGCTTAACTCAGGTACTCTGAGCATTGCAAATGGCAAGAGGCGAATGGAACTTGTGACATAATTCGCTCTCTTCCTTCTCTTTTTCTGCAAAACAGGTATTTCTGCCCTTGGTCAGGAGGTCAAAGGGTCGAGTCGTTCTAATCAGTAGTCTCTTGGCACGGATACCGAGTCCCGTTCGAGGCATTTATTGTGCGCTTAAGGTAAACTTTCTCTTTGGTTACAACGTCATACAGCGTCGTTACAGTCGCTTGTCTATTTGTGTAATCGTGGAACTGGAAGTATTAATAAAGCTTGAGTAGATCAATAGATGATTATATAAATATCTTAGGCTGCCGTGGAGGCCTGGGGATCATGCCTAAGACTGGAGATGCGAAGATGGGGCGTGGACGTTGTGATCGTCGAGACTGGAGAATACATATCTGGTAACGCATGGCTGAAGGATAACACAGCATTGTTGGAACAAGCTAGAGACATGTGGACGCAATTGGATCCTCAAACTCGCAAGGAATACGGCCAGGAATTGTTTCAAGCGGAAATGTTGGCCTTGGAGAAGTACACCCAGGGTCCTGAGGCAGATTTAACCGCCGTTACGAGGACTCTCACAGATGCTGTGGTAAAGACTTTCCCAATGCGGCGGTATACACCCGTGTCGCGTAGTGAAAGAATACAAGCATTGTGCAATCATTATTTGCCGAAGCCGATTTACGACATATTATACACAAATTAAATCAATGCATCCTATACTACATACCGATGTGTCATCAATGCTCATAATACAATTAGAGATAATTATATAAAACGGTACATTTTTGAACATATGTAATATTGTGAGAAAAGGTTTGTGTAAAACAAAGAAGGAGCGAAAGGTTTTTTTTAGCAAGTCGTGCAACCACTTGAGTCACTGCCTATGTAAAACTGCGAAGAGACACTGTGTCGATTAATAAAGTTAATCTACCAAATTACGGTTTACACTCTTCACAGACATAAAGAACTTCGACTATTTAGAACTTTATCGAAAACGAAAAAACAAGTTAGAACATAATTCCTGTGTACATAACTAATAATTATTATCCACCTTGTAAATATTTTTGACATTCTTGGAATAGATGTGATATGTTATAGAATAGCCAGGCAGCCGGAATTTATAATTATGCTACAACAATTCGAATAATAATAACCTTTTGGTATTTCTAATTTGTTTGAAAAAATTACACAATTATATCTAATAATAATAACAATATATCTAATAATAGATGTAAACATATACCATAATCATAAACCTACAAAAAAATGCCGGATAACAACCACTAATTATACACGATCACTTATACACTGACATATCAAAACTCGGGATTTTTATGACACACACACTCGAAGGAGCATTAACCAATGGCGCTTGAGATAAGAAACCGCTCTTTGCGACTGAATCTCTCTTATTATTGGTCGCTTTTGCGCATGTGCAATGGCCTGCCTTCAGTAACATAAAGTTATTGGTCTTATCGAAAATTATTAAGAAATTTTTCTACGTCTCATATTGAAATAATAAATAATATTAATTTATTATTTATTTTCGCCGTCTTATAATATCTGTACTCAAACCTTGGAAGAAGAGGAAAAAAAGATTGCAAAGGAATAAGCAAATGCGGGACAGGGCTCTTGTATTTGCACACATTACTGTGCATATACATATATATTCTCAGCGTGGGTCATAATACACATGCGCAGAAAACTGGGCCCATCAAGCAAATATGGACGCGAGCACCTCCTCTCATAGTTCAGTACTTACAATATAATTATTCTCGCTATTTGCCGAGCAAGTGTCGAAGTATGTGCGTTTTGTCACAAATTATCGGTTTGATAGCAATATTACAGTGATTATTGTAGAATATTCGCGGCTTTATTTCGGCGTTACGACCGAAATCACGACGCATGTCGTAATTATAATGAGTGGTATATGACTTCTATCTCTTAAGCGGATCGAACGATCGCTTGCGTGTAATATGGAGAACACTTTTGAAGGAAAGTAAAGAACAAGAGTACTCCAAATTGCATAATTACCTTTGAGATCATAATTCGAATCAATTGAGGAGGAAGGGTGGTAGCAAGACGAGCAAGAGTTATTGTGTCTCAACAAAGACAGATGTCCATGAATTAATAAGGAAGACTTACCGTAACGCTCATCCGCTGGTCTCTCTCACAGTAAGTTTGAATGTAGATATGGTTCTGAAATTTAGTAGTCAGAGAGGGAATTCTTAGTTAGATTTGATCCATAAAATACCATTGTATATTTTCTAAAAGCTTTTGCAGAAGCTAAAAGAGAAAATGGTAGTCAAGTCTCAGCATAATGATGATAATATAAGGAATAGATTATGATAAAAGTCATATCTTAGCATTACTATTAATTTTTTATCTATTTTCAGTAAGAAAGTTTATGAGACATTTTAATACAAAATGGCGCTACCACCAAACTATAAACAAGTTGCAATGGCTACATCAAACATTGTTGCTTCTAACCGTGAGTGCAATTAGTTTCTTAATTTTCTTGATTTAACTTTTACTGTTTAATATCAAAGTTGAAGTGCTTAACCTGTATTATTGTATTTTACTATAGAACGAATAAGGGCATCTGGTGGAAGTACAAGCAGCTCGACAAATAGTGTAAGTATTTACAGTTAGTGCAAGTATATGTTATCACGATAAAATATATTAGTTGTTGAATAATCAGATAATTTAATCTTCATATATTTCTTATATTTCAGAAAGATGCTCAAAGTCCATTCATTCAAACACCACATAGTCATCCAGGATTCACACCTCAGAAAGTTGGAAAAAATACCAATGTATGTATCTTATTTTTTGCTGAATATTATATTCTTATAGATATTAATGGATTAAATTCAGTTAAGGGAAGTTTTTATTTTAAATATTTGATAACTCGTGCAATGTTTTCAGGCTGACTCGCGTACACCAAAACCACCTAAGCCACCAGAAAAACCCCTTATGCCATACATGAGATACAGCAGGAAAGTGTGGGATCAAGTAAAGGCGCAAAATCCAGAATTAAAACTCTGGGAAATTGGCAAAATTATTGGGCAGATGTGGAGAGATCTGCCAGAGGAAGATAAAACAGAATTCATTGAGGAATATGAAGCTGAGAAGGTATACAAGAATTCATATTTCATATGTTGTGATACTGTACAATTTAACAATACACTTACACATGTTGCTTGTGTAATTGCTTAATAATGTAGGTGGAATATGAGAAAAGCTTGAAGACTTATCACAATTCGCCCGCGTATCTAGCTTATATCGCAGCTAAGAACCGCGGGAAATCGAGTAAGTGTAACAAGTGTAGTTTCAAAGTTTATAATAAAGAAAATGTGATGTAAAACTATTTAATAACATCACAATATCTTGTATCTAATGCAGTGTTGTGTGTAGCACAACAAAACAACGATGATCGAGAAAGTCACGAACGTTCCTCGGGCAGTAGTAAAAGTCAATCAGCCCAAGATAGAAGGATCGATATTTTACCAGCGGAAGATGACGACGGTATATCAATGATAACGATAATGATTATTACAGAAAATCATTATCGCGTGTGTATAAATTATTACTAATACCTTCTTCTCGTTTCTAGATCAGGATGACGGCTATTCTGTGAAACATGTGGCATATTCGCGTTACACGAGAAACCATCGTCTCATTAATGAGATTTTCAGTGACACTGTCGTGCCCGATGTTCGCTCGGTTGTTACCACCCAGAGAATGCAAGTTCTACGTCGTCAAGTACAATCATTGACGATGCATCAGGTATTATGAATACACTATTAAACATATATTTTACCACGATATACGTCGTAACAAAAATATAATCTTGAACATCTCAGAAAAAACTTGAGGCTGAATTACAACAAATCGAGGAGAAGTTTGAGGCGAAGAAACGTAAGTTCATAGAAACCAGTGAAATATTCCAGGAGGAATTGAAAAAAGTGAGTGGTTTTTTCTTAATCTTTTCGTACAATCGCTTAAGAGTTTCCGCCGTGAAACGATCTCTGTCTGTAAAAGATATTTCTTTGAACATCATATATATATATATATATTTATTTACTTATTTATTTATTTATCATATTACAAAAAGATTTAGAAATAAATATTAGTACCATAGAACACAGTCATTGTCTTTTCCAGCACTGTAAGCCGGCGGTGGACGAGGAAACATTCAACAAAATGGTAGAACGACAGTACGAAGCTATCAGACGGGACAGGCAGAAAGGATCGGAAGAGAATCGTTCGGACGGGCCGGCTTCGAGTGAATCCACTCCGAATTCCACTCCCACTCCGACCCCGGCGTCACTCAACGACGAGACTCAGCCGGATGTAACGATAAACAAGATTCTCACTCGAGACTTGAACTCACTCATATGCCGCAACGAATATTCACGGCGTTTTCTCACGCAGGTTTCCGACAACGATACGATGGAGAAGAAGGCCGGCGGCGGTGTCGACAAAGCCAACATCGAGATGACCAAGAAAATGTCGCCGCCGTATACCGAGAACAAGCCGGAAGCACCGACGATGAACGTCAATCAGCCGCACGCGCCCAATTCCGGGATGTATTGCAACAACGTGGTCAACCCTATTCAACAACATCCGCATCAGCAACAAACGCAGACGCCGCAGCATCAACCGCCGCAGCACCAACTGCCGCAGCATCAGCCACTGCCGCAACACCAGCCACTGCCGCAGCACCAGCCACTGCCGCAGCACCAGCCGCATCAGCCGCCGCCGCAGCACCAACCGCCGCCGCAGCACCAACCGCCGCCGCCGCACCAGCCGCCACCGCCTCAACATCAGCCGGCGCCTCCTCAACAGACGCATCAGCTGATTCCGCCTCAGCAGCAGCATCAAGCGCCGCCACCGGCGCCTCAGCAGCATCAGCCGCCGCCCTCGCAACAGCAGCACCAACCGCCGTCGCAGCCACAGCAACAACCGCAGTCACAGCAGCCAACTACGGTGCTACCGCCGCAACAGCCGACCACGACGGCCGGAGTGGCGGCTACGGTCGCGGCGGTAGTCGCCAGCGCGAACGCGACCGCGAACTCCACCCCACCGAATATGCCGCCGGTGTCGGCGCCACCTACGGTGCCGATCCAGCATAATCCCCACCAGCAAGGGATGCTGGCGAATCACTCGATGCCGCCGCACCAGGCCGCCCAAGGCACCCAGGGCACGCAGGTGATGTCGTCGCAAGGGCCGAACCCGCACACTCCGCAGATGATGCCGCCTAATCAGGGTTACGGCCAGCAGTATCAGTCCGCGCCCGGCCAACAGCCGCAGAACGTTCCGTTGGCACCGAGGCCACCGCATCCTTCTTACAGTTACTCCCAGCAGCAACCGTACCACCAAGCCTACCCGCAATACAGTCCTCATCCGTACTACCATCCCCAGCCGTACTCGCAGTACTCGCCTCATCCGATGGGACGGCCCCATGGCCACGGTCCGCACAGCCCGCACAGTCCGCATTACCATCCTCAGTCGCCTCACACCTCAGTCACCGACAGCGGCAACGCTAACAGCAACGTAAGCGGCTCGAACACCGCCGGATCCGCACCCGCTCCCGACTCGAACAACCCTTCCTCGTACTCTTCGCCCGCGGGACACTGCGAAGGCGAACGCTCGGGCCCGTCGGATAATCAGGAAGGTCAGGTGGATGCCAAGTCGGGGTCCGCCTAAGCATATTCGGTTTCTTGCTTTTTATTTTACAAATCATAGACTTAAGGCCCTTGTCGACACAATGTATGTGCGATTTTTGCTTGCGCCTACTGTATTCTGTATGTCTCTTTAGGTTGTGCGGGAATTCGCACCATATCGAATGCGTAATGTGAATCCCGCATTGGAAAACTTAACGTATCCAGTTGGATTTATTATTATATGGTAAAAATGTAGTGGTAATCGTTAGTTTTATTATGGCCCGCAACACCGTGTTGTACATTCACGAAGATGTGTCGTTCTGCGTGGTGACGGCAGCATGCGCTGGCTCTACTTCGTAGTTGCGAGATATAGTGTATGAGAGAACGTCGTATTATGCGATACGATTCTCCGATTATACCTTCGGCCTACCTTCGGTACCATCAGTCTTACTTCATCGGCTTCATCTGCCAAAGGCCGTCGTTCAAGTAGTGGCAGTTCTCGATGCCAACTCCTTTATTCACTTTGATACTGAAAATCGTAATGACGCCGGCAATTAGAATGACTCGGAACGAATGTCGAGAGGATCACTTTAGACTTACATGTCTTCCGTCGACAGCGTGGTGACTCCGACAGCTAACGCGTGTTGCTTGCCCTCTGCCATAACAGCCTGTATCCTGAGTTAAGGACATATTTTCGAGTGGAACACAAGCTAATTGTTAATTTATGATACACAATTATAAGAATTTATTAGCTAAAATTATAAACATTTTTAGCTAATAAAGCTATTGAAGAAATATCGCAATCTGCTGAACTTGTATTGCGTTTGAAGGATACGACGACAGTTCCTTTATTCACAGTCATCATCTTCGCACCCTTTGATGTTAAACCAGGACACATGATGTTAGCACCACTAAGAACGAATCTAATAGCACCTTTGTCGACTTGCTGCATTGGCAGGAAAAATGGATCTGAAAATTTATGATTTATGTGCAGAAATAGAAGATCATGTAGGGAAAAACATAGTATATTTCTTTTCTCTCACCGATTTATCAATGAAAAGAACTCACATTTGTGCAGTAATCTCAAAGTTGGCATCCAAGGTCCTTCACGTTGGCGAAAAAATAACAATTCTCCCGCTGCATTCACTATGATCTCTATGTGGTCGTGGCTGATGTATAGGGAAGTGAGAAAATAAAAGTTGAATTGTAGAGAAATCTTAGGTGAAAGATAAAAGTATTCTCTTACCATTTTACAATGCGAAAGGAATCTTTCCTTGGTATTATAACATCTATATAACTATCCAGATGAGGGTAGAGCTCCAGAAGTTTCGAGCGAATACCCTTCTGCACGGATGACTTTAATTGTTGAACACCAGAAACATTGTCCTTCTCGTCGAATCTGACGGAACGACAAGTGGTGAGTTACAGGTGAGAAAAAGAAACACATTTGTACGATTTAACCACTGTGACAGTGAAGTAGAAATTCTGCAATTTTTCCCAACGTTTAATGTCGAAATTAATACTTCTGAGCTCTCGAAATACGCAATGGACAGTGAGAACTTGTCATCAAAGCACAGGATTTTTAAATTGCTCGCATATTTCTCCGTTGATCCAGAGGTTAGGATACCGATAACTGATAGTGCACGTACTTTTTAAACATTTTCCCGGTTTTCTGTGATATTCCGCCGCTTTGAACACTCTCGGACACGTGGACGAAGCATTCAATCAAACGATCACGAAGACGCTGGAACGTTACTTAACGTCAAACACGTTTACCTGGACGTCTCCGCCAACGAACATACGCGTGATAGGTTAGAGATGCCTGGTCAGATAGTTGCGTCGCCGCATAAATGTGTACTCGAAGAAACCGACCAATCGTGCGTTCAGAACGAAAGATGCTATGTTGTTCTCATAAATGCGCTTCGATTATTTCGAATTTCTTCTTACAGACAATATAAAACATGGTTGAAATATAAGAAAGCTTTGGATTACAAGCGATTAAATGTAAACGGTTTGCTTTTATGCATCAATTTTTGTATATTTAACTTCGGGAGTGTAACATATTCTTTTTTTTTTTTTTTAATTCGTGTCTTGGTTTCTCCAAATTTGCTTAATTTTTGAGAAAGAGTAAAGGTATGAAATCGTAGAGTTACAGTTTCGCTAAGAGATCGACTGATTCTAAATTAGTCAGAGAGAATAGATAGAATATCTTAATGTTGTTTATTAAAATCTTATATTTTGTACGCTTCGAGAGTATGCAATTATTTAACTAGCGGAAGTATAAAGAAAATCTCAATCAAAAGCTGGTTCAAAGGGACCCGTACAAGATTTTAACGTGAACTTCTTTATATATTCGGAGACAATCTCTTGTGATGTCTAATCTTACCCTCTTCAAGATTGATTTATTGTCTAAGAAATATAAAATAACGTGAACTTGCATAAACCAACCTCTTCTCTCTCTCTCTCTCTCATACGTTCTACACTTTTGCCACGCGAGTAACGTTCGAAGAAAAACAAACGGTCGAGAAACGAATGTGCACCTAAGCAGAACAAAAAGTCATGTAAAAGTCAAACTGACATCAAGATGACAATTATTTATAGAACAATTATATTATATATTATATAATTTATAGACAACTATATGTAGAAAATCAAAATGATATCATTTAACGTCTTAAACAGAACAGTAATTTGACTTTTTGATGACTGTATTGACTTGTCAATGAGTTCCTCATTTATGGCATTTTAGAACGCCCTTAAATTCCCCATATTCAACTGTTTATATTTTTTTTAAGGCTGCGTTCCGATATTTACTGCCGATACTTAAAATCTATAGTTCATGTTACATATACCATCGGTTTTTAGTAATGGCAATAAATATCGGAACGCAGCTTAAAAATACGCAACTATTCCTTACAAATAAATTGCTATTGCAAAAAAGTTTTAGTTGCATTTAAAATTATAATAAATTTTAATTTGTAATTTTAATTAGCCATATAAAACACAAGCAAAACTGTAATTATAATAAATAAAATATTGTTTGTACGAACAATTTTGTAGCTACTAACGTGTGCAACTTAAATATAACGAACAGTGTTTATTTGGAAAAAATTAAACCTGTAACTTCCAAAGTCATTATTTTATCCATTTTCTGCCATAATCAAAAAGTGACATTTGGAAGTCACTTTACTGTCATTTTGACGTTATTGTGATTTTTTGTTCCGCCTGGGTGATGCCACGAAACTTGCGCGCGCAGCCGTAATATATTATAAATACTATTTAAATTTATATCCTCTAAGAGGATGAAATCGCGTACGAGGAAAAGTTTTATCTCTAATTAAGAATTATCTAGCGATGTATCAGAACTTTCAGCGAGAGTACAAACGATCTTCTCAATGAAACTCGAAAGGATACTTACTATAATAGAATGTGAGTGTGTGTGTGTACGCCTATCTGTCGCGATATCTTTCACGATCTCCGTCGCGATTCCGTCGTGCAAATAATTCGTACTGCTTTGCTGAAAATCTCCCTTTCGTTATCTCTCTTAGCGGTATCAATTAAAGTGTACGGCGTATCTGAGTCAATGTACAAGAAATATTAGTCGTATGTATATGTATAATGCTATGTGCCGGACTAAACGGAAAATCTTGCAATGGTGTCGAAATGACGAGAAAATGATCCCGAGGAACTCACTTCCCGATCATAATTCGATCATCTTCCCGTCACCTTCGACGTCGCCGTGATTTCCCGTCCCGCCAGCAATCATTCGTAACAAATACGATATGCAACCTCGTATAATGTCCCTCCGTATTTCACAAGTCACCTTCAAACGCCGATTGATCATCGCGTTCTCTTACAAGCGATCTATAATTTACAGCGAGCACAATCTCGTGCTTATTGCTAAAAACTGGACGACAAGGCATACGCGTTGTAATTTTATTTAAACAATCCATGTCCGATCAACGTAGTAATCTACGTCTCTCGTTACATTGCAGTCTTCCGAACGCGCGCCCCGACGATAGTCTATCGACTCGACATATAATTCTGCGAGATTTATTCCGCGAGGATATCCTCGACGACGACGACGACATTGGTGAAAAAGTGAAGACCGTCAGCGAGGTAAACATACGCCTGCGGGTCTTCGTCGTCCTCTTATCACGGCGGCTCCGTTTTCGCACACACAAATGAGCAGAGCAGTAGAGTCCCTCGGTCAATTTTGCCAACCCGTACAATCGGTATGCGCTAAATAAGAGCTCCAAAATTCGCAGTCTCAGACCTAACACTAACCAGATATCCGGCCACTCGGATAACGAATAAGTGTAACTCTTCAAGTTCGTTGTCTTGTTTGGAGATTTGGATTTCCTGATATATTTTTTTGCAGCAATTCAAGGACTCAACCCTTTCAGTCGCACGCAATTCAGCGAGGAGCGGGCGGATCTTCACATCATGCATGATATTATAGGTTTGTGAGGTCGCTGAATTCAAAACCACTGTCGGATTCCTAAAAATTCAAAATGGTCCGATATGGCGACGGAATTTTCGAAAATTGAATCTATTTGCTTGAACGCCTTCAAACTTAATATAAAAGTTTCAAAAGGTACAAATTAATAATGTACAAAAATAACGTCATAAAATAATCAAAACGGTGAATCCAACTTGGCGGACAAAATGCTTGAAAATTGAACCTGTAAAAAAATCTGCAAAAATCCGTATTTCATTCCTTAGAGTATCTGTATTATTTATAACAAAATGATGTATTCAAATAATTATATGTCTGGAAAATAAATTCAATGCAAGAAAATAGCATATTTGTATTAATTTTGTATTAATTTGTTTATAACAACAAATATATTAACAATATTGAAGGAATAACCATTGAAGAGTGAAAACTGAACAATTGCATATTCGAAAATAAGAAAAAAAGACTCAATAGTATTGACAAATACTATATTATATAATTAAAAAAGGAAGATAAAAAAGGTGTTATAGATATGTGGCGCTGAAAGGGTTAAGCTGACTTAATTGAATCTGAATCCGATTCTCGATTCGGATCTCGATTCTGGTCCGCACCTGGATCCGAATAACTCGGATGATCCGAATAGCGCGGTTTCGGTTTCGAGTTTCCGGATGGGGGATCGATTTCGGACATTTGAATACCTGGGAACCCCGGCGCTAATTATTGTACTCATGACAGAGCGATAGCGTGACGGACAAAGGCAGCGGCTCGAATCACACGGTGGCTGCATGCGCAGCGTTAAATGCGACACCGAAGCGGTTCGGATATCAGCGTCGCGAAGTGACAAAGCTAAATACTGTAGCGTCGCGGATCCGACGCGATCATTGTCCGCGACTAGCAGCTAGAAGACCGACGATAAGAAACAGAGAGGCGTTACGTCACAGAATTTATTTCTTCACCATTGAAATTTTAAAAATTACTCCTCCAGATCAACTCCTCCCGCGAAATTTCTTTTACATTCTATCTACACGCGTTCGCCGAAGCGTTCCCGTCACCGCGCGTTCTCCTCGGCGCCCGAAACCTCAGGAAGCTCAGCGAATCGCGAAAGCTCGCGGCGGGCCCGACCAGGCTACAGTTTTTTTTGACGCATAAAATATCGAGCCTCCTAAAAAATATCAAACGATGGCAGGAATAATCGCGAACGGGACATGACTAGTCCCTAACTAGTGAACTCTCTTCGGACGAGGTGTGGACGAGGATGGAGAAGTGAAGGATGTGCTCTCTCTCTCTCTCTTTCTCTCTCTCTCTCTGGTCGACTTAGAGCAATTCGCGATCGGCGCTTTACAAAAGTGCATCACAGTGGATTGGCGTCCGGTTCGGCGACACGCGGCACCGCCATTCGCGTTCGAGCGAATCGGCCTGCGAATCAATGTGGCCACGTGCGTTATTCTACACAGAAGGTAGCGAATAAATTAACTCGAAGGTAGACACGGCGATGTGTGTATATGTATTTTGTCGTACGAGTGAATGTGTCGCTTGTTGCTCCAGGCCTTCCAGAGGAGTCTAGTGTTTCGGAAACGCAGGTCTCGTACAGACTACCGGTGTGAAACATTCGCTTGAATTTACGCCGTAAAAAAATCCTCCGAGGTCACGGAACGGAAGGGAAACACGACTGCGAGATCGACGGTCAGATAAAAGAAGTAATGTCGTTATTGGTTAGTTCTAGTACAAGCAACACAAAGCTTCTTTCGAGACAACAATTTGTTAATATATACGCGTATAAACAAATATGTATTTTAACATACAATTCAAGACACAGGGAGAGAAGGGGTTTCGTAAACTCTGAAAACAATCTAAAAACGACGTTGCAACGCTGGGAGAGAAACAATATTCAATCTCTCGTCGGTTCTAAATATACAAATTCACGTCCGCGAGGGAGAGCGCGCTTCTCTCTCTCTCTCTCTCTCTCTCTCTCGCAATAAATTAATTTTGTCACTGCAGCGACTCGAACGGACAATCAACGATATCACGATACCTAGGCTGCTGCTGCTGCTACATTCTCGTTTACGCTAAGCGTTAAAAGAATTACTCGACTTCACTTCCGCTTTCGTTTTTCTTTCTTTTTTTCGTGTGTTCTTTTTCTCCCTCTTTCTCTCATTCTTCCAAAGGTATTAGACAGCGTGGGGATCGCGCTGTTCCCGTTGGAATTACAAGGTTACATGTGCTGCCACTGGGTCGGCACCATGCTGCTCGAGGATTCGATGGCCCTCGCGATGGACTCGTGCAATTCGTGGCCCAGCCAGATGTAGTTGAGCCGCTGGTACTTCTCGTGGCTGAGGTGCAGCGGGTTGCCGCGGCGCAGGCCCTGGTCCGTCTCCCCGTACTCGTCGAGGTACGGCGGGCACATGTGGCTGCCGCGGGTCGGGCTGCGCAAGAACAGCACGTCGCACTCGCGCACCCGCAGGAACATGCCGACCCCGGTGCCGCATTTGGTCGTGTGGTAGGTGCACGCGCCCACCGACATCTTGTTCATCTCGGTCTGGCAGCAGTAACTCTGCGAGCACAGCATCTCACCACACACGAGGCACAGGGTGGGGTTGCGGGAGTCCTCCTGGTCGCTGTTCGGGCAGGTGAAGGTGGATATCGAGTTGATGAGATCGCTGTAGTCCTCCGGCAGGTCGATCAGTTTGTTCACCCTGAGCGGGTCCTTGACGACCGGCACCTTCTTCACGCCCAATAGGTGCTGCCAGACGGTGGGATGGCTCTTCCATACGTGCGTCAATTTCAGCACCACGTTCAGATGAGCGTTGATCAAGGCGCGACAGGTGGTGGGTAGACCGAGGTACACGCAGATGTTCTCGTACGTGTCACCGTGCGCCTGCATCAGGGCTTCCGGAGCCGGCACGTCGGTCACGTAGTGGAAGTAGAGGGCGCAGCATCGCAGGAACGGCCGGCAGCCGGTCTCCACCCGGCGCCACAGCTCGTTCGCGACGTTCTGATCGTTGATCTGCGTGCCGAGTATCTGCATCAGCACGAGGTCCGAGTCGGCGGCGTTCTCGGCCGCGGCGCCGTCCGCCTCGCGACTGTCCACGTCCATGCTGCTCTCGAGCGGGCCCAGGTCGATGGTAAACAGGATCTTCACGATGTGGCAGATGAAGACGAGCCTGAGCGCGTGCGACTCGAAAACGCCGCCCGTGATGATGGGCGGCGACGTGTCGTTGGGTTTCGTGTAAAAGAGGCTCGGCAACAGGTTGATCAACGGCACCAGCACGCCGAACGGGTCCCAGTCGAAGATGCAGGGCCCCTGGTTCTCCAGCAGCAGAGTCAGCAGCGTGATCGCCTGGCTCACCAGCATCTCTCGGTCCGCCCAGAGATGCGAGTGATTGGCGAACGACGCGGCCAACAGGGCCGACATCCTCGCGAGATTCTGCAGGCTGTCCCGCTGCCGGGAGGACAGGGCGCCGAGCAGCGGTTTCTCCATGTCGCGCAGCAGGAACTCGATCGCATGGATCGTGTAGGCCGTAGACTTCCACGCCCACAGCGGCACTTGTTCGTCGTCGATCGGGCTGGAGCCCTTCAGGTACGTCACCTGGGTGAACAACGCGGCGAACACTTGTATCATACTCTCCATACCGTCCGCGAGACGCGGCCCGGACTGCGAATACGCGGACTCGAAGGCGTCCGCCACCGCGTCTCCCAGCTCCCGTCGCAGTACGCTCATGGGAGGCACGATCGTCGCGTCCTCGTCCAGCATCTCCTCGTCCTCCACCTCCATGGTTTTCTTGCCGAACTTGCGGTTCGGCTTGCACTCGAGCGCGAGCCACATCACGTCCAGCCACTGCTCGAAGCTGACGTCCGGCTGTTTCTCGGGGGTCGGCTGTAGCATCCCCAGGGGCGGCACCAGCAGCAGAACGGTGTTGCTCAGGCACTCGCACAGCGGGCAAAGGTACTCGTGGTTCTCGGCGTCGAAACTTGCCGGCTGTCGCATACGGTAGGGACGACGGTTCTCCTTCGCGAGGACGTTATCGAAATAGTCCTGCCAGCAACGTCCGTGCATCACGTGGCCGCACGTGCTCGTGTACGGCGACGCGCCGAGCTTGGCCGACAGATACAGGGGATTGGTCTCGTCGTTGTCGGGCCTGCACTGGCACAGCACGGTGGACTGTTGCACGAAAGTAGCCAGCACCATCGCCGGCCCGGCGGCCGTCACCACCTGGTCCTCTTGGCAGAGGATGCAAGTGTAGGTCATCTGTTCGGGCATCCTGCTGGTCTGGCCGAGGCCGACGGCGACCGGCGCCTCTTCCTGCGAGGGCTCGGTCAGGTCCATCACGGAGCCACGCTCGCCGCTCTTGTTCGCCTCCAAGCTCGCCTCCTCGAACAACGTCGCGTTCTTCTTCATGAAGTGCTTCTGCATCGCGGCCATCTGCGCCATCACCTTGGCGCGTTTCTGCGCTGCCATCTTCGTGCGCCACTCCTTGTCCATCTTGTTGGCCTCGGCCATGTCGGCGGACTGCTGCTCGTCCTGCGGAGGGGCCGGCGTCACGTCCATTGCGACGTAACTGGCGACCTCGCGATACTTGGCCAGAACCCACGTCAGCAGGTCCTTGTGCGCCTCGATGCGCTGGTTGCTGGACAGGTCCTCCAGCAGCTTGTAGATGTTCCACTTGGCCGCTCTCTCGGGGAACGCGAGGAACGGGTAGTGGCCGGACTCTTGCTCCTGCAACGCGTAACCGATGAGATGCAGTATCTTGTGCACCTGCGACTCGGAGAAGCTCCTGGCGGTGAAATTCTGCGCTCGCTCCAACACGGTCCGCATGATGTGCAGCATCACGTCGCACTGCAGCAAATTCGCCACCAGGCTGAACGTCTCCGTCAGTCGGGGCAGTTTCGGCGGCGGGCAGCACTCCAGCTCGCCCAGGGCCTTCCTGCGTTTCCGCTGAGCCTCCTCGGATATGCTCAATTCCTCCTTGGTGTAGTGGTAAAAGAATATGTTGTACTCCGAGTAGAGATGTGGCTTCAGTTCGTACACACCTTTCCGCGCGGACAACCGCGCCGGTTTCTTGAAGTCGGCCACCTCGCATATCACCGTCTCCATGTCGGGCTCCAGATGCTGCGAATCGTCCACTAGTTGCTTGATAAGCTCCGAATGCGGCTGCGGCTTGATGCACAGCTGCTGTATGATCTCCTTCTTGAAACGGTCGTCCGCAGTTACCTGACCGACACCGGGCACGTATCTCTCGCCTATGATCGTGATGAGCAGGCCGAGGAACTCCTCCACTAGGCTGATCGTCTGCCTTATGCTATCCTCTTCCGGGTTCTTCAGGGCGTTCACCTCGAAGTCCGGGTGCGCCCAGTTGAGCAGGTTGAACTTGTTCAGAACGTGAATAAGGAATTCGTTACTCTCGATCAAGGATGCGCCGACTTGAAGCAGAACGATGTCGCGGTCCAGCATCTCGTGGCGGCATTTCACGCTGTGGTAGAAGAACAGTTGATTTAGCAAGGAGTAGCCGTTGCGACGCCACATGCCCGAATAAACCTGCGATATCATGACCTGCGCGGTCAGTACGGGCTCGATGATCTGCTCCGGCGTCGGTCTCGTCTGATTGATGAATTCCGGCGACTGGAAGTGCAGGTTGTACTTCTCCAGATGCAGGAAGAGGCCGGCGAGGAATCGCGAGAGCGGCAGGTGTATGGAGACCGGCTGGGACGACACGTCGTACTGCAGGCAGGTCGCGCTATGATCCGCCAGTTCTCGCACTTGGCTCGGCGCCGGTTCATTGCCCAGTTGCTCGTGCAGCTTCCTCAGCACCATTATGAAGGACTTGATCAGCACGACCTTGTCCGAGCCACACCACTCCAGGGCCAGAGTGATGACCGGCGCCAGCTTGAAGTGCAGGGTGATCGCCGACTCCCACTCGGGCTCGTATTCCATGTGCTGGCCGACCTGCCGCAACACAGCGTCCATGCACTGCATGCTGCAGAAGAGCGTGAACAGCAACGAGACTCCCTGCAGGTAGCCCCGTCTCAGCTCGTCGGTCCACTCGTCCGGCTTGGCGCTCAGCAAGTAGCGAAGATCGTAGAATATGAAGAGAGCCCTCTTGAAGGAGGTGTTCGGCGTGTTCCTCTCGAACTCCAGCTTTCCGGCCGCGTTGCACCGCCGGGCGCTCTCAGAGATGAGCGTGTTCAGCAGGATGAACAGTACGTCGTGATGGGCGATTAGATGATGGGCTAAAGTTGGCACTGTGAACAGCTGCACGGAGAGCGAGACGATGGAGAAGGAGTGGTCGTGGTCGTCCCGGATGAAGTCCTTCATCACCGAACCGTAGTTGTAAGTGAACACCACGGCGAGCGACTTCTTGCTCTCGTACTCCATGAGCATTCCGGTGATAAGCAGCCGATGCCACGAGGTCCTCGCGGTCTTCCACAGCTGCGAATCTCTCGTGAGGATGCCCTCGACGATCGAGGTGTCGGGTAGCTTGGTGTTTAAAGCGATGTTGCTGAACAGCACGCGAAAGCCCTCGCACTGGCTTATGAACTGTTGCAGCCAATTGAGCAGTTTCATGGAGAACATCTGATGGGCGACCACGTGAGTGTGCAGGACCAGTACCTTGAGCGGCCGGTTGCTGTGGCGCGAGGTGAACCTCTCGATGTCCGACCTCAGTTCGTTGCAATGCCGGAACACCGAGCACCTCACCACGGCCCTGCCCTCCCTGTCCACGTTGTTCACGTATTCCACCGCGTCCCGCTGCAAGCACTTGAGGACGCGCACCAGGGTGGTGATCACTTGATCGAAAGTGTGAGTCTCGTCGTTAAAAAGCACCGTACAGTAACTGTCGAAATCGTCCAGTTTCTCCGCGGCTAGGTCGAAGCACGAGTCCTTGACGCACAAATTCGCCGGCAGCGCCACCGTGTACTTGAGAGTCAGCAGCTCGTAGCAGTACTCCAGCACGGCCTCGAACGCTACCACCGCTCGTTCGGCGATGTCGCCGGGTAGCTTGTTGCCGCGCGACTCCTTCGACTGGGTACCGGCCATGTGTATCTCGCAGAACGGGTCCTTCTTCCAGGCTTCGGTGTCGCCGCAGTCGCAGCAACCACCCCCGCCGGACGTGCCCATCTTGTACTTGTGATCCCGGTGAGCGGACTGCTGGAAGCAGCCGACGCACAAAACACAAGTGGAGTCCACACCGCACTGCCGACAGCTGTAGGTTGGCTCGCCCATCTTGAACACGCGGCCGCACATCGACGGCGGATTGTCCATCTTGGTGAGCTCCTTCAGGACCGTCTGCGGGTCGCCGTTGCAGATGAATCTCTCCAGAGGGCTGAACAGTATCTTCTGCGCCTTTGCCTCGTCGATGTTCCACGCCAGGCAATTGCCGTTGCGCTCCGGACTGTAGATCTTGGGCACCCACACTCGCCAAAATTCCCGGAAGTTCAGGCTGGTCAACACTCCCTTGTTCATCTTCTCCATCCACACGTCTATGCATGACAAGCCTGTGTCGGGGAATACAGGGGAATCCTCAGCCGCCACCTGAGGCAGCAGCCGACTTTCCACGTTCTCGTTACTCATCTTGCTTAAATAACCCAAACAATATGTACTGAAACAACGGATACAAGTTGAAAGATACCATGGAATTCATGGACACGAGGATAAGTGAGAGACAGTGATGTCATGTGAATACTAACCAATAGAATATGCACTATCAAAGTGATCGAAGATATGATATACTATTGGCAGATAAATTCGCATTTTAATAATCTTCTTAGATAGCCGATTCATCCAACGTTTGACCGAAAAATATCATTAAGATCTACCATAGGTTCTCTTATATTGTAATATAAGCAATTAATCAAGTAATTATTCCAATAATTACTCTCTCTCTCTCTCCCTCTCTCTCTTCAAAGTTCTTATTGCGCACGTGATATCTTCATTATCGGTGGTTCGCAATCTGAAAACAGCAATTCATCGTTGCGTGAGTTCACGCTTCCAAGCGGATTTAAACCAAGTACGCACGCTCTCGAGTCCCGTCGCGCAGATACCCGCTTCGATTCGACGTCTCCGCGCGAACGCGAAAAACGCCCGTGTATTCCGATGAAATGCTGAAACGAGAAGCGCAACGACGACGACTGCTACAACTGCCACCACCACGGTTGCACCAGACATTCTCCCCCCGAACTACACTTTTTAGCATACCTTTCTCCGTGGGCGCTTATATACGCGTACAGGCGTCATATATGTCGCGCATTAGTCAACGCGGCGGTGCGACATATAACAACATCGGCGACTTTTCGGCGCAACGGGACTATTTTTAACTTCGTTCCCGAGGACGATACTCACTGTTGTGACGAACGGGTCAAGGTTAATAAAAGGTGCCGCGGATGTTCTTTGTCTCTCGTCTAGAATTCCACGATGCGCGACCCCGCTCCGCGAATCACGCCGAGCGTCCGTCGTCCGCGTCCGCTCGTGACGCGCCGGTGTGTGCCCACGGTGGCACCTCAACGCACGTACGTCGATCACGGACACGCGAACGTTGACATTTTGCGGCGAAACGACAAGTAATATTCCTCGCACAGCTGCTCGCAACGATGCACAAAATGGCTTGTGAACTCGACGGCGGACCGAGACTATACGTCCACTAGAGCGCACGTGGCGGATCGGAGTCGCGCAGCGCCATCTATCGAGACTCTCTTCCTCGGATTTTGGGATACATGTGCGTGCATCCTTTCTTTCTCCGTTCCTACACGCGTTAAATCCGCTGGATCAGGTTTTGGTTTCTGCCCACAGGACGCGGCAATGCTCATCGCACGGCGGAAATTCATGCGGTAGTCAATCAACATACCGTTTTTCGGCAAGAACTAGAAGCTTATTGGCTACCGCGCGAACTTCCGCCGCGCGGCAAGCGTTGCTGCGTCCTGTGGGCAGGAGCCATTTCTCTCTCAATTTTGATGATGCGATCGCACATATCACGAACCCTATCGAATTTGTACTTCCGAGACGAGAACGGAAGTGTCGGGAACTTCAGCGGAAGTCAATTGCAAACTGCATATTATGTTCCGGAGATTGTTAGCGCTACTACTCGATTTACCGTGTTCATGGCCGTGTTTACTACAGGCTTCCCAACTGTTTCTTACCGCTGCTGTCCGATACTGTTGCAGAGTCGCGATCGAAATTCCAAATATGGCCAGCGAGAAGAAATCGACGAAAGCATCGTCGAAAGATGCGAAATCCAACGAGCAAATACTTACGGAGTTTCAGACGCTTCGAAACGAACAGAGAATGATGGCGAATAAACTGTCCGAAATGGAGATGGAATTGAACGAACATAAGTATGAGTCAGCTAACCTGTACGCCTGCTATTTCCCATTCGAAAAATCAATTCGTTGAAAACACGCAAGGGAAATTTCTCGTTAACGTAAAGTCAGACAAATTGTGCGGATTCCGTTATTATTCGCAAAATTCGGTCGACTTTTAAGATAATTCTTGGCTTATAATTTTAAGATAATTCTCGCTTGTAATTTGTTGTCTATCATCGATCATAAAAAAGTAAAGAAAATGCGTAGTGCGGCATTTGATTGGTGCAATTAATATTTCAGAATTGTTATTGACACGTTAAAGAATGTGGATCCCAAAAGAAAATGTTACAGAATGATCGGTGGAGTTCTGTGCGAACGTATAGTAGAAGATGTAATGCCTGCTCTGGTGACAAACAAAGAACAGGTATATTTTGTCATATTTTTATCAGTATTGTTACTCGATTTCTTTATTTATGGAAGTAAAAATATATCCCTGGTATGTATATATAATAACACCAGAATATGTGTTTTCAGTTAATGAAAGTAATAGATGCACTGAATGACCAATTGACAAAGAAAGGAATTGAGATTAATGATTACAAGGAAAAGCACAATATTAGAATCAGAGGACAAGATGATATGCAGCGACAAGAGGAGGACAGCAACAAAGAAGCCAAGCGAAACGCGATTGTTGTGAATCCAATTGAAGTTTGAGTGTAATAAATACTTGCTTTTTTTGGTATCATAAATTAAGGCATTTATGTACTATATCAGGATTGGTAATTTATCTAACGAGTTGCATATTATACATTTCATATTGCTCTTGGTATTTATTTATAGAATTTTGATGCACAACTCATGATAAGTTAACAAAATTTTGCTGTTAAATTTTATGCCGCTATTTGTCTTATAAATATTTACTAAGAAAATGACACATCATAACAATTCTGTGAAAGCAAAGATAGCATATACGTATAGATATAGTTCTCTACTGAAATTTTTTGATCACTTGTATCTCTGACGTTACGCGTCGAAGGTAAAATAAGAACATTCGTATGTTTCTTCAGTGTAACAAAGTTTATATATTCAATTTCCAGCCATATCCAAATTTACACATTTAAACATTAAATAAGTAGACGTAAATTCATGTAAATATAGAAGTCAAAAGAAAATGTAATAAAAATAGAGAAAAATCACAGGTCAGTTTTCAAACAAAAAAAAAAGACTTGAAAATCTTAACTCTGCGCCTATATGCGCCTATATGTTGTAATTATTTTAAGTTTATCTTCAGATGCTATACGAATTACTTCATTGGCTACGGAGTATCTGAAGATAAATTTTAAACAATTTTTAATATAAAATCTGTATAAATACCGTTCATAATCCAATCTTATATTTAACTTCAGGCAGGATTTGTTAGACGCTTCAAATTGTTTTAGCTTCATGACATCACATTCACATGATCAAACTCTGTGATAAAAAAAAGAAGCATTTGCAACGTTAAATGGACTGGAGCCTTATTCTCGGAAATATGTGTAAAATATCGCATACGATAGTTAGGTAAGGTCCATTCATACTACAATGATCTATATGACGATCCAAAGCGCTTGCCGCGTGAAATGGATCCTTAATATCGCATGCGATATTCTTTACGAGAATCATTGACATTCTTAAGTTTATTTTAAAATTCCATACAACCAATGAAACAACGTTCACAGCATTAGATGCGCTTTACAATAAAGATGAGCTTTAGGGCGATATAAGAGATCGATTATAAATATCGTCCTACATGTCCTGACGCCTGAAATGGACCAATCGCGGACCGAATATAGAGAATACCCTTTCGCTACGCTTTTCATATTAAAGCCAGCGGTACACGATGCTTGTTTTCGTGCTGGATTGCTTGTTGGATGGAAATACTGCGTTGTGATTGGTGCATTTCCAAAAATGGATGACAATCAAAACGCAGTATTTCCATCCAGCAAGCAATCCAACATGAAAACAAGCATCGTGTGCCACTGGCTTTAGACAGCAGTTGGTCGACTTCTTCGTGCGTGTGCGACTATGTGAACTTGTGTGGATGAGCCTTTATGATCGGACTCGCACACATGTAACTTTGCATGCCCATTGGCGTAATTCCTGTAGATCCGTGTGAATTTCGCTGAACGAGCATGTCAAAAATTTGTGATGGCGGCGGCGATGCTGAAGGTTAGTCGACGTTAAATAAACAAATTACCGCTGAAAAATATGATAAACTCCGTCGACTCGGCCGAAATAGGACGTCGACCGTTAAGATTGTTTTACAATTCAATCGCGGATTACACGATAGCGGACGATTACTTGGTGAAACGTGCCAACGATATTCAAATTCACCTGGCATCGAACTCGAAAAATAGACTTCATTTTTGTTTACCGTCTAATAATCACTTTAACGATACGATAATTAGACGATCAATTAAATGGTACGACGTTCGTCGATGCGTTTGTATTTTAAGTGCTCGTTTGCCCAGAGATACCGCTTTGGTAACTCTTCATCATGAAAACGTATCGGCAATTTGCACTTTGCGCTTACCGTTTTCTTTTCATTTATACGTTTAATGAAACGTGATGTATTAATATTCAGGATAAATCACAGTTCACATTCGAGGACAAGTGGCCATGTATGCGACCCATTATATTGAAACTACTTAAGCAAGAACCGGTGACGCAAGCTGAATGGCAAGATTTATTTTACTCAGTCCAAGTATGCCTTTGGGACGACAAAGGACCTCCCAAATTACGGGATGCTCTGAGGGAAGATATAATGGATTTTATAAGACAAGCTCAACAGGTGGGAACAATTGTTTTATACCAACATTAGAATTTTATTTATATGGCACGTCTGCTTCGTTTGTCTTGTTAGAATAGCGACTTTTTACGAATCACAGTTTTGTGCAGAGAGTTTTAGCGCATCAAGAAGACCAAGCATTGTTGAAAGCATACATAGCAGAGTGGAGAAAGTTTTTTACACAATGTAACTATTTACCGACGCCATTTAGGCAATTAGAAACCTATCTCGCAGGGAAAACTAGCTCGAATATACAAAAAAGGAATCAACCCGATGACATTGTTAGAAAAGTAAGAGGAAACCTATGTATGTGTACACGATAATTAATTGTCTCTATATACTGTTTCGTCTTTGCAGTTGATGTTGGATAGTTGGAACCAAAGTATATTCAATGAAATAAAGCAAAGACTTCAAGATTCGGCCATGAAATTGGTACACGCTGAGAGAAACGGTGAAGCATTCGACTCACAGCTGGTTATTGGGGTCAGGGAATCTTATGGTAACAAATAAAATTATACTATATGCTTATTTCAAGATAGAATAAATGTATGCCTCTGTGATCGAAACATTAATTTAAAACAGACTAATAAGAGACACAGATTGACGTTTATGTGAAAGTAATGTTTGATAAGAAAATCGAAATGTTGGTAAACTTTAGAATATAAATTTAATCAATTATAATATTAACACATTAACGGCGGGCGATATTTTGTGTGATCATAAAAACTTTAAGGTACAGTCGAGCTAAATTGTATTACTACGACTCCCGCCTTTAAGCCGCAGTCGAGCTAAATCGTAGTACTACGACTCCCGCCCTTAATGTGTTAATATAATATTAAGGAATATGAATTATATTTATACCAAACAATATTAATTATATTAGAATATAAACAAGAATATAAATACAATTTATCAGCGGTGGCTGTTATTAGCCCGTTTTTATATTAATATTTATTTCAACTTAATACCAACGTAATATCTTCTCGTAACGTTGTTTAATTGTTTCAGTAAACCTGTGTTCAAATACAAACGACAAGCTCCAGATATACAGGGAGAATTTCGAGGCAGCTTACATAGAGGCTAGCGAGAGGTTTTACTGGGTGAAAGCGCCGGAGTACTTGTCCGCACACGGCGTGGAAAACTACATGCGTTACGCCGATTCCAAGTTGAGGGAGGAGGAACTACGCGCGCAGAAGTACTTGGAGCCAAATAGCGCGAGTATACAACGATTGACAGACTGTTGTGTGAGAGTGTTAGTGGCCACGTTCAAAGTAGCCATACTTACGGAGTGTCCACAGATGATCCAGCATCATCAAACCGACAGTGAGTAACGCTCGTCTTCGCGTCGCATTGACATCGGTCAACTTGCGACGAGACGCGTGATCACTCGTCGTCAATGTTATTATCGTGAAAAAAAAATGATTGCAGAACTTCGTCTAATGCTAAAGCTAATGGACAGGGTCCCCGACGGCGTTGGTCCCATGTTGAAGAATCTGGAGGACCACATCGCAAGCGCCGGTCTGGCGGACATGATGGCAGCTGTAGACATTATTACGCAAGACTCCGAGAAATACGTGGAAAGACTGTTGGATCTCTTCCGTAGATTTTCTACGCTCGTTAAAGAGGCGTTCGACGATGACCCGCGGTTTCTTACGGCACGAGACAAAGCTTACAAGCTCGTTGTCAATGATGCAACGGTATTTAAATTAGAATTGCCTTGTCGGCAGAGTTCCGGACTCGGTGGTTCGGCAGTTTTAAACAGCAAACCTCCTGTTAACAATACCGGACAGCCCGAGTCGAAGTGTCCGGAACTCCTTGCGAATTACTGTGATATGCTCCTTAGGAAAACACCCCTCAGTAAGAAATTGACTTCTGACGAGATCGAAAGTAGGTTGAAGGACGTGGTTAGTATCTGTGACTGAAATTGTTGACCCCCTCTTTCTCCCTTTCATTTTCTTTCTTTTATGGGTTTTGGTACTGATTTCACATCGAATTTCGTTTCAGCTATTGGTGTTGAAGTACGTTCAAAACAAGGACGTGTTCATGCGTTATCACAAGGCACACTTAACCAGACGATTAATATTGGACACGTCCTCGGATTCGGAAAAGGAGGAGAACATGGTAGAATGGCTTCGGGAAGTAGGGATGCCCGCAGATTATGTGAACAAGTTAGCCCGTATGTTTCAAGATATTAAAGTGTCTCAAGATCTGAATCAACAATTCAAGGAGCAATGTCGTGCAGCTCTTGCAGATAGCATTAATATCAAGGTAATCGTTTCGTTTTATCGCGTGTATGCGCGATCTCATGTGAAATTGCAATTCTCATTGTAAAAAAAGGGAAAACTTACTATGTTCGTTACGGAAACAGGTTTTTTACTTCGAGTGTGTGACATCGTGATATCACTTGCAGATACTCAATGCGGGTGCGTGGGCTCGAGGTAGCGAACGCGTTACTGTGAGCCTGCCTCTTCAACTGGAAGACTATATCCCAGAGGTTGAAGAATTCTACAAAAAGAAGCACAGCGGACGGAAATTGCTGTGGTATCATCACATGTCTAACGGCACGGTACAGTACACATTAACGAAACGTTGTCAGACGCTCCGGTTTTAGGGTTGTATTGTTATCGCGAATATAACGATCTTATAATTTGCTTGTGATATTTTATATATAATTTACAATGTATATTGTATAAAAAGATATACTTGATATATACAAGGTGACCCAGACCAACAGAGACAAACTTCGCGAGGACGGTAAAATGGGCTGAGGTGAACACAAAAGTCTACCATTTTGCAAATAATCACGCAAAAATTCGAATTATTAATTATTGAAAATGGCCATGTTTAAAGACGTTTTAATTAATAACTCGAAAATTTGCGTGTTATTTGCTAAATGCCTTTTTTGTTCAGAATAGCCTACAAATAGAGGAGATCGGGGCTAATTGGCTAACCAATTATTTGTGCAGAGATTTCAAAATCAAAAGGTGTTAAAAATGGTTATAAAATCCCTACTTGCTCGATTCTGTAACCTATTAGGAAACAAAAGAAATAATCAATTAACCAATTTACCCTTTTAGTCAACTCTCCCTGGTCTCCTCTATATAATAGCTGTTGTAAATTAAACCACTGAACAAAGAAGTCTTTCACTATTTTGAACAATACGTACATTTTTAAAGAATTTTTATTAATTAAAGAACCTTCTATGTTTCATAGCTGTTCTCAATAATTAATAACTCGAGATTTTATATGGTTATTTGATTGTAAATGATAAAGAATTTTTTTATTATCTTCAATGTTATATGAAGTTTGCCTCTATTGGTTCACGCACGCACGCACGCACGCACGCACGCACGCACGCACGCACGCACGCACGCACGCACGCACGCACGCACGCACACACGCACGCACGCACGCACGCACGCACGCATATACACACACACACACCATTTGTATAATTTAATTTATATTAATCACGATGTCGTTGTTTCAGATCACTTTTTCGAATCAAGTGGGACGCTTCGACGTGGATGTAACGACCTTCCAAATGGCGGTGCTATTCGCGTGGAATCAACGACCTCTTGAGAAGATTTCATACGAGAATCTCCGATTAGCTACCGAACTTCCGGATCCTGAACTGAGACGGACTCTGTGGTCTCTGTGTGCCTTCCCGAAGTTAAAAAGGCAACTTCTCTTGGTGGAACCGCATGCCCATACCCCGAAAGATTTCGGAAATGATACGAGATTTTGGGTCAATCAGGAATTCGCTATTGTGTTCGTATCAAGTTGTCGGATTGTTAAAAAACACGCGATACATTCAATGAAATTAGAATTTTGTTGTTAGTTTAATTAATTAGCTTCGCTTCTCTTTCTCTCCTTTTCACTCTCATTAACAAATAAGATTTATCTCATTATTTACATTTTTTCAAGTTCACATACACAGAGACGATAATATGGAAATTTGTGTTCTTGGAAGGAATAATATGTAAAACAATAATTTAAAAAATGATATCGTTCTGTGTGATGTAATTAATAATTGCGATATTTTCATATTAGGAAAAACGGCAAGTTACAGAAACGAGGGAAGATCAACTTGATAGGACGTCTTCAATTATCAACGGAGCGTAGCAAGGAGGAGGACAACCAATCTATCGTACAACTCAGAATATTACGAGTACAGGTACGTCGCGAAAGTTTCACAATGAAGCAGCACACGACGTAGAAAAATATCGATGAACATTTATTCTTTATCTCTCGAGTCGTAGACTACAGTAAGTAATTTTGCGTGTCTCATCCACAGGAGGCTATCATCAAGATTTTAAAGATGCGCAAGACGATCGGCAACGCTCAGCTACAAACCGAACTAGTGGACATACTGAAAAACATGTTTCTACCGAGTAAGAAGATGATAAAGGAACAGATAGAATGGCTCATTGAACACAAGTATATTAGCAGGCACGACGATGACATTAATACATTTGTGTATGTAGCGTAACACGGAATTATGACATATACGTATAGGATTCGAACTATGTGGGTAATATTATATTTTTATATAAAAAAGATTTAATTTTCTCGTGTGCGAGGATATAATACGTTCGAGTCCGCCGTATGCCGCTAGATTTTCTGCTTGTTTTGCGCGTTTTGATATTCTCACGAGGCGAAAAGGAAGAGCGATGTATTTGGTTGGATCCCTCGAGATAAGAAACGTAAATGGGGCAAGTGTCATATCGCATCTACTCAACAATCGACGATACATTGTCACATATGAGTAAAACCTGATGTTATAGATATCATTCAACTGGAGAAAATATCGCAATAATGAGAAAACGACCACGTACAACTTACGGTGCCATGCGATCGACATCGTGTATGCCGTACCATTCCTTAGGTGGAAAATTACACAATTTTCAGCCTTATACACAATCCATAAAGTTGAGAATGAACAACCATAAGATTAAACATCGCGTAAATAACCCTATAAAGGCCAGTTTCAGAATCTCATATTAATTTAATCGGTCAATTAAGTGTCAGCGGTGGTTGCTTATTTCTAGTCAGTTTTGCTCAACGACAAATGCAATTTATCAATTCCGTTGAGTTAACCGTCGGTTGAACTTAACCAGAATTGGTGAAAGTCATCTTATTACAAGAATCAAAGAGAAAAGCTGTGTATATCAGAAGTTTGCTGGGAAATCAAACCTGGGATCTTCCACTTGCCACTTACTCTTATCACTGAGCTACGTAGGCTCCCGTCCCACTCTCTCTCTCTCTCTCTCTCGCCCTCTTATTAGATACTTGTCAAGATGGTATTTCCCTAATTCGTTTTATATCTTGTACAATGATATTATATTGGCTCGAATTGTAATGATTTTACTTTTATATTTACACGATTTTTAATCTTACGCAATTTTTAATCTTATAGTTGTGATCATTCTCAACTTTATGGATTGTGTATAAGGGTGAAAATTGTGTAATACTGAAAAACATGTAATTTTTTTATCTAGAAATGGTACAGCGTACATAACGCCGATTGCACTATGAAAAATGAAGCTTGCAATACGTCATTCGTTTCGGCGTCGATTTATACCAATCTACGTAAACGAACATTGAATTAGAAGAGATCTCGGATTAAATTGAGAACAGACAAATTTCGAGTGAACACTAACGCTGTTTCAATTGTCTATATTTCACCAAAAATACTTTTGTCAGATGTGTATGTGTACATACACACATATAAACACACACACACAATATATATATATATATATATACATATATATATATATATATATATATATATATACACACATATATATATATATAATTTTTTTTTTAGTTCGTACTGCGTTAAATTTCTCAAAAGAAAAGAGGGATATTTTACAATGTCAACGCAATTGACGAGAATTTGGCACTAAGGACGTCGGTAGATCCTTGCACAAATCTGAAGACGACAGACTTGCACGTGTATATGTACATTGACTTAAATTCAATCTCGTAAACAATAAAAATTCGCATATACTTGAATAAATATATACATACTGTACTGTTTTTTGCATACAAACTTACTCATCGCTAATAGATGTCAACTACCGCGAGAATTTCCTTCGGGTTTGCTACCTGCTCGTCTTCGAGTCGTGTAACACATTCTTGATTTAGTCCTAGAGTTTATAATGGTTTGTAATCAAGTTGCGGACGGCGTTCGCGCGAAGACGTTCGTAATTCATTAATTTTCAAAGTATACATTAAAAGCCCGACGAATATATAATGTTCGATGGCCTATAAATACTTTATAATGTGTAAGCATGTACCTCGCAACATCAAACTTGATTTTCGAGCGGTGATAGAGATATTCGTGTATTTTTATGATTTCTACATCTGGTTTAGTCATTGGGATGGTTCGAATCGTCGGATTAAACCGGAAAGTAGTTACTTAAGCAAAATAATGACGCGTGACGTGCGGTTATATGTATAAAGCTTTTATATCACTTAAATAAGTGACAGACGAGTGTAATGGTATAAAATTTCAATGAATTAAACGACAGAATATTTCATAACTGTGTACAATATGTCATTATCGAGTTGACAATTTCTGTTTTTTTTTTTTTTCCTTTTCGCCTGTTATATCATAGCGTTTCATGTGGCAACAACGAGTGTAACACGTCAGGCTATGCATCTCAGAATTTTTAACGTAAAATAATTTGTATTTATATTTTCTTCATCGATACAAATCATTTGTACATCGCTTCCATCGGTGTAATGTAATTTATATACGTATTTTGCTCGCGGGTTTACTCTCGGTTATTCGGTAATGAAGAATCAAATTGAATAGACAAGACGGTTCTCACACGTCGTCCCACCGAAACGGGAGAATATTAACGGTATATCGCGCTATATAAAGCAAGGTGGATACTATATATAAAGTATTTATAAATATTCAACAATTATTTTTAGGTCACAGATCTTGCGTTAACAAGAATTTATACGTTTCACGAGAACATTATATACATATACACAATCACCACTGCCGCTGTGTGTAATCGGTAACGCTGATATGACCACATACGTACCATGATCTCTATCCTATCATTACTAACTCAATTCTCCAAGAGAGAGCAGAGCGGATAACAATAAGTTTCTTTTTTTTTTTTTTCGTAACTTCATTAACAAGAGACCATTTATAGGATAGCGTGTAATGTTAAAGCTAATGTGAACTAGCTTCCTACCGAAAACACAGAACGAAGAGAACGATAGTTTTTAGAACAGTACATTCGTATACACACACATATCACATACATATTAATGTCATATATCTCCCTAGATTTTTATTTTCTTTTTTTTTCGCATGCACGCAAAACTCAACTCGACACTCGACTGACGTAATCTCCAAAGCATCTTCTAAGAGAGAGAAGGAACAATCCAAAAATAAATAGAGGAGGAAGCCGTTGAACTCCGACCTTCTTATTATTATTATTATTTTTTTGATTCTGTCGATTAATTATTCTCTATAACGTTAGTTATCATCTCTGTGAATTCACAACAATACTGTTAAACATTACGTGCTGTTTAGAAGTACAAATAACACACACCGATAATGAGAGGTAGAACTGCAAAATCCCTTCGATCGTATCGCTGCCCTCCCCCTTCCGTCCCTCCCTCCCTCCCTCCACGATATTCTGGTTTCCGACAACATCTCACCGGCTCGGCTGTAATCTTCCATGATATAAAATCGTTAACGCTATTATCAACGAAACAACATGGGAACAATGTAGGCCAAGAACTATGCGAATCTGCCGAGTTAACTATTACCGTGAGAAACAAAGATTATACAAGGACACGCCGCGAATTCTCGACGGATGAACGCACAACTGAAATTCTATATATCTTCATCTGTATATAGCAACAAGTGATATTTATAGATCGCTGCTACCCACGGCCGGCTTTGTAAATACTCGTGCCGGGCCGCTGCGTCGTTGTCTGCGAGCCGTAATCTTTTTACAACGCATCCGCTTTCCGCTCACCCGGCAACACCAACCCCAAGCAATCGGTTGTAAATTGTTTCAGCTTTGTACGGTATAATAGTAATCTAATTTAAAGTTGCTTACTGGATGGCCTTCGGAGCGGCGCGTGACGAACTGAGACGCGAGCGAAAGGAGGAAAAAATTAGTGTTCGGGACAGCGCGTGTGCTGAATGCGAGGCGCATTTTTCGTCGGATTCGCGTTCTCGCAAACGTGCACCACTATGCCCGGCTGTCCCGAGCCCGCTGGATGCAATTCGTGACTTCCACCTGCAATATTGAAACATTGCTTATGTACACGTAGCTTTAGATACTAGATCTAGCGATTGCCACTACCTATCGTCTACGTCTCCTGCATATGATAAAATCTTTGTACAAAAGAACGAGATAATAAGAGATAATAGTAACCTGCGGATAAATTGGCTATAGCGGCTAATAGATCGTGATTGACGAGCGGCTCTCCTTCCTCACGTGGCTCCCAACCAACCGGCGGAGAAGCGGGAGGAGATATAAGGAACTGTTTGGTGAGCGCAGGTGGCTGAAGATGCTGATCTTCCATATCTGGAAAAGTTAATTGACACGATCCGATCAGTTGAATTATTCTTCGTCTCGAAAATATATTTTACATTTAAAATACATTGAAAATATATTTTACATTTTACACAAGTATACAAGCGTTTATGATGCTTAGTTTATGATATGCAGGTTGATTACAAACCTATGGGTGTCACAGGTTGTGCAAAATAACAATTGATATCAGTTTCTCCGAAATGTGTCTGATGCAACTGTAGTCTTGCATTTGCCGCAGCACTGGGAAAACTGTAGTTTACTCTCATCCTTCTGAAAGATCTAAAGTATTGAAATGTAGCATCTTCCCCAAATTGCTTGAAGAGATTTTCTATGGCTGGCTGTAAAAACATAAAATTATGACGAAAATTCCCCCGGTTGTTCATTATTATTTCACACTAATTTGTTTATTACCTTCAATTCTTCACCCTTGAAAACTCGAGGATCCACATTGGTAACAATTACAGAAGTTGGTAGATCTTCGTCGTGAACTAATTCATCGATGGATCTGATACTTGTGTCACCGATATGCCTTTCTCTATCAAATTCAAGCTGCAGTTGTTCAAAATTTGGATGTAAATTTGGAAGGCCATCTACTTCATTAATTATTATATTTTCAGATTCTTCTGGCTCCTCATCCTCTACTATCCCTATGCCGCGTTTTTCTTCCATTTTCTTTTCTACCATGTTTAAATTAACATTAAAATAGGACCATATGAATAGATAAATACTACAAAAGATAAAATTAATATTTAAAATTTGTTGATACTGTATAGTACACTACCTAAAAAAAAAAAAAAAAAAATATTAAGATAATGATAACGAACATGATTGTGTGAAATAAATAATAAAAATAAAGAAAGATAAAAGGAAAATCCATACATTTACAAAAAATTGCAAATTATGAAACCAAATTATTTATACAAACCACCACCATATGTAATTAGTAAAGATAGAATAAGACTTCACAAATGTGCAAAATTATTTTCGATAAATTTGATTAAACTGTCAATATATATATAACTATTCACCACATCGGAATTTATTTTCGGAGCACGCATCTTGACGTTGGAATACTAACAATCGGTGGAAACAACAAGCACGCGAATATGGATTCCTCTTATTGGTCGTACAAGTGTCATCATGTCAATGAATCAAGTTCATTAATAGCAATGTAAAGCGAATGAAATAATGCGTATGTACGATCTCGTCGTAAATGTTACAGTGTAGCACTCGTATAGAAAAACGTTGTAAGCACTGATGATGCGAGACGTCTTTCTCACCTGACACGATCCCTAACGGGAAAGAGACCAGACACCAATAGATGTTTATAAAACGCTGGCTGACGCGCTTAGTCACAGATATTTCGTTACATGCGCAACATCTACTCCATCATAACAAATTTAATCGTCTCGTCACTCCGATATCAGCATCCTTAGGAGATTCACTACCACCGCGGTCCGTCGATGCGTGTTCGCTATTTCATCACTGTTGTTATAAGGTAACCGCGCGTCATCGTTGACTTTACGACAACAGGAACAGCGGACGCATTGGGTTCGCGCGTTGTATCCGTATCCCAGTCCGATCGAATGCCATGGCCGTGAAGCGGGTTAGGTTACGTTAGGTGATGCTGGCAGGAGTGTAAACTGTTGAGAATTAATTGCACGACATCGTATATTTCATATCAACATCTTTATTCAACGCTCTAATTGGCTGTCAAATAGAGAATTTCTAGGATCCTTAGGACTTCTCGCGCAGCAACTGTTACAAATTTCCTATTTATTAGATAATTAAAATACGTGATAAATTCTCTTTGTTGAGGGCGTATTTGAAAATATCTGTAACTGCTGCCTGTAATGCACGTATCAGACTACGAATTAGGATTGAGACCGTATTAAATATTGGTCAATCAGAACAAGATTCACTAAATTAGAGTTTAGTGAATTTTGCTCTAGTTAAATTTCAATCCAATATCAATCCTAATCGCATATGATCAATATGATCTTGTTTTCATTATGACTGACTTTTTAAAAGCACACGATCGATGATCGAGGCTTATCTCTTGTCCACAATCTTGCTTTAAAATATAAGCAATAAGCAAATTGACCAACGATGATCGATTAGTCTTCGAATAGACATTGACAATATTGAGATTTTTCCATATTTGCTATTTCCATATCTACCATTTCTACTATTTTCCATAATGCTCTCTTAACTTTAGCTGATTTATTTTTAATCATGACTAGTCGCTTTATTTCTGATAGCATTTCTACTCATTCTTCATTAAGATTTTGCATCTCATCATAATCACTTTTTGTATACATATATCGTATATTGCATGTATTGCATACTGCGATTAGTTTTAATACATCTTCTGTTGCAGATGTTTGTTTTTCTACTTCTGTGAAACATTCTTTAGAACTTTCTTCACTTGAGTCCGATATTTTCATAGAAAGATCTGGGCTGATTTTGTCATCAGACACTTGATGACATTCATTGTCTAAAACTGTCTTTGAAACTGATTTGTGATTTTTAACATTTCTTTTTTTATCAACCTGCAAGCATAAATTTCATTAGTGATTTCCACAATTGAAAATGTAACTTTAAGATAATGTGAGTAACAAAAAAATAAATGTACATAAGAGGTAAATACGTTGTTAAAAATTGTTGGGATTGCATGCTGCTTTAGTTTTCGCTTTCCATCAATGCCAGATTTCTCCCACATATTAGCAGAAAAGTGTACCTACATATGTGTGAAACAAAAGTTTGTTTTTCATTTCATTACAAAGTGAAATTCTTGATCTTTTACCTCACATATAAACCAATTCTTCGAGGAATTCGAATCATGTCTCCCAATAATAGCAGTCCATAATGCTATTTTGGCAGGATCTGCGGGAAACGAGTAAAATGAAAAGCCTTTCTGATAAAAATTTTTGCATTGTGGAACACAACAAATTAACATTTTGTAACCTGGAAATTTATATTTTATTATATTATTTTATAAGATTTTTTTTTTCAGCTATTGTTCAGTATAAAATGTGAGGTAAGATGATAATTTTTATAACGAATATGACTTTTTGTAACATCATAATTTTTTACTGAATTGATTTTTCTTATTTTACCTTGTAAACCATATACAGAATAATTTTACTTACTTCTATTTTCAATTTGTAACCAAACAATGACAACTCTAGATTTGCTTGTTTTTACTGTACGAGAAATGCAGAAGAACTGAATTGAACTATAACGGACAAGTACACTGATTAGCATTAAAGCCAGCGCCACATGATGCTTGTTTTCGTGCTGGATTGCTTGCTGGATAGAAATACTGCGTTTTGATTGGTGTATTGTCATCTATTTTTGGAAATGAAGAATAATTCAACTGACCGGAGCGTGTCAATTAACTTTTCCAGATATGGAAGATCAGCATCTTCAGCCACTTGCGCTCACCAAACAGTTCCTTATATCTCCTCCCGCTTCTCCGCCGGCTGGCTTGATATAAATTTAAAAACTAGGGAAATTAACTGCTTTCTGGTTTCACTTTTCACTTTGGGTGGGAATTTCTATTCGTGAAGTGTACACACTAGCTTGAGTTCAAAATATAAGCAGCAGTAACTGTCTTGTGTGATAAAGAGATGCCATGTTACTTTTAGTATTTACACAGAATTTGTAATTTTTTAAAAAATGATGAGCACCGTAATTTATTTTCGTATATGTGTGCATGTTAAAGTTACTTTGTAACTTTATATGTAAATAGTAATTCACTCATTTTTATAAGTAGTTACATTTGCATATAAGCGGTTATATATGTGGCGGTCGAGTCTCGCCCGCCGTCACCGGCGGCGCCACCGTCCAGAGCGGCCTCGCGCATGAGGAAGCAAGTTCTGCAACCGCTCCCGGTCTTCTGACCGGCGCCAGCGCCACCCGATTTTTCCGGCGCGTCGCGCGCACCGCCGGAACCACGAGAGTGTCACGCGACCCCGCCGGCCAACCACGCGTTCCGTAGCGCGATCGCGTTTTGTTTTCGAAAACGTCCCGGCGGTCGTGCCAGGATCCCGGATCGCTCTCTTCCCTCTCGGGCTCGGGACGGACGTGCTCGTGAGTACTCCCCGGTGTTCACCCATGTGCGTTCCGCGTCCCGCGAGCGACATCCCTGTGGCACGCGTCGTCCTCGTAACGCCTTTCGTCGCCGATCGCCGTCGCGACCGTCGCCCTAGCGACGCATTGAGCGGCCTGCGCTTCGTATCTATCTCCGCGTGAGAGAACGAGGAGCCGGCTTCGCGTCCCAGCGAGCTGAGCTCCCACTGTAAATAGCGTTCCGATTTCTGCGTCCCGCGCCGCGGCCATTTTTGTTCTCGCGCGACCATCTCATTGTGCATCGCACCCATTTCGTTCTGCGTTGCGGCCATTTTGTTCTCGCGCGACCACAGCGTTTAGCGTCGCGGCCACTTCCGTTCTATGCCGCTTTCCATAGTTTTAGCTCAACATTTTCATTTGTTACGTTTACGAGTTAGTACTTATCTAGAAAATACAGCTGCACGTGAGTAGTCGTAAGGACTCCGCTTTATTAACGCTCACCCACAGGGCTACCCGTACTGGAGATCTTCCTCTCCTCTTCATTCAGCACGCGCGGTGGCCACAGGCCATACCGTGCCTCTCCCCCCCCCCCCTTACATATACATAACACACATACGATGGAGTTTGACAAGTTAGAACAATGTATCAAAAGTCTAAACGAAGCAGTGAGTGAGTTTCCGATCGGTGCGGTTTCGCTGGAGGATTATGAACCTATCGAGAAGAAGATCCAAGTGACAAGGGAATCGCTGATGCGTTTGAATGCCAGGTTATTAATGCTTAGAGCAAAATCCAAACGTATGTCATTGATATTAGATAGTATGCACAGTTTACGAGTTGACCTAAAATCTCTTATGTGATATTGTAGATTATACGAGACATGAAAAATTGAGAGGCACTGAAGAAGAACTTGGAGAAGCGCTCCAAAGGATCATAAGCGACACACTTATAAACCACGGAGCGATCAAGCTGTGTCTTCATAGTGCAACCATTGTTTCTATTCTCAACAATAAGGAAGGCAATGAAGAACATCAGAAGTGAGAGACTCTTTTGATAGTTGTTAACTGAAATTATATATAAATATAATAATATATAAATTGATATTGAAAGATGCTGAAACAGTTAGATAAGAAATATACTGAAAAATAGAACTCTTATGTTTTGTTTGCTTCAGGAAACTCTGTGCTTACATGAGTAAGTTATTCATTGTCAATGATAATATTATATCCATTCAACAGTCCATTGAGGAAGCATTTGAAACACAGTTAAATCTAAAAGTGGAGTGTCAAAAGGCCCTGAATGATTATAAGAATTTTCTAAAGGAACAGAAGGAGATACAAAATAGAAAATTGCAGGAAACATGTCCAGATATTGCAAGGTGAGCAAACTTGCTAATGGAATAGTTCATCTTGTACCATACGTCCTTATGTTTATAATTTCTTTTTCAGAAATAAAAGTCGAATGGAAAATACTTTACGAAAGATTAATATAATGAAGAAACTCATTCGAAATTTCATAGCAGCATCTAATTTTATGTTAACAAAGCAGCCATTATTATTAGAAATGTTGGAAAAACATAGAGAATTGTTAAACGTTGAAACAATATTAAAGATGACTCAAGATGAACAAAATATCAAACATGTATAAGAGAGGAAGAAAGAGAGAGACAAAAAATATTTTAAAAATCGGAAATTTCGAAAAGAGAAAATACGCAGGAATTCATTAAGAATTTTTTTTTCTGTTTTCTTACTCGCTAAGCGCAATAGACACAACACATATTTACAAGAATAAGCTTCCGCGCAAATCTGAATGTCTTTTTCATATTTTTTTTTTCTTTTTTTTTTCTTTCTTTAAGTTCCTCTATTAAAGCGCCTTGTCAGACGGTTTTTTTTGTATGAGTTAATCTTTAAATAAAGCATAATCGATATTGTATATAAGTTAAAAATTAGGATATATATAGTAATCACAGCTTACGTATATATAGTAAAATTTCACTAGGGGAGAGAGATGTACACATTCACATTTTTAAAATCGGTGTACCGAGAGACTCGCTACATTCTTCGTACGATTAACTCGCGTATAATATGTATAATATAACCACCGCGCGCGTGCGCGGTAAAAATGCAAATTGTAAGAATCGGGTTATTTTTTTTTTTTTTCATGGTCCGGTGTGTATGTATGTCGTTCAGTCTCATTATACATTACGTTCGCTTTTCTGTTTTTCTTATGTAGACCACTCTCCTCTTCCACAATCATCTCTATATATATGCGTAAACACACATATAATTCACAGTAGTGGTACTAAAACAATTTAATCACTATTTACACAAGTTTGTCGGTTTCGGATAGATCAGATCAAGACGAGTGGAAAGAAAACGAATCCGTTTGAATGCCACGAGAGGAACCGCAGCGGAGCCGCTGCGTTTCGCATTATATGCCCACCACAGAGGACGGGGTGTATCATCCGCGGGATCCTGTCGGGATCGGCTTTTACGGTTGTCTGACGAAATATAAATGGGAATGCGATCTCGCGGAGAACGCGTATGTATTACTACTCCTAGAAGTCCGCAGTTTCTACACAGATTATTTCATGCCTCGCTCCGTTAGCTTCCTCGTAAAGAACATGTCCGTTTCTCAGTGTATGTGTGTGTGTATGTGTGTGTAACACGCTCTCTATTACATTAGAATAAAATTATTACGATAAGGATACTAGTCACATACCGAATAATAAAAATGTCATAATAAGTCGCGTTTGTTGAGACGTTAATTAATCATGTACACGCACGTATACACGCAAATGAATTTAGCGCATGGACGCTCTGCGTACATGTTGCTTTTCACCATTCCTCCTCTTTGCTCTTCTCGTTCCCAGTATCCCATCGCGTTCACGCGTGTGTCTGCGTGTGCCGTGTGTCCGACGCGTTGCAAGAACACAAGCTCGCAACGCGGATCCGCGCTACCTATACGTGTTATCCAGTTCATATGCTGCAATTGTCTCTCATGAATAATTTCCACATGCTTTTCCATATGCTTTAATATTAAACACACACGCACACACCCAACGCGCGCGCATGGCACCCACCGACGTTCGCTTGAGAGCTGCCAATTCCATGAAAGAACACGCGATTTGTCATCGTCGTGGCAATCGGCAATTTTATTCTTCAACAATGATTCACCCATTAAAACAATATACGAACGTATAATAAGTCTGAGAATGTATAGTCTACAATATAAGCCTCACTATGCGACGTTACTCTCGTTTTTCCTCAGAGACGACGAGAGAGAGAGAGAGAGAGAGAGAGAGAGAGAGAGAGAGACGCTTCATGTAGCATCGACTATTAACTTAATCTCAAGAGCTCCACAGTCGACAGTTCTCTGGCTCTTCGCCGATCGTTGATCTACCGTAACCAAAACTTTTCACGATAGACGAGGGAAAATTCGCAGACATGTTGCTCGATTTCTCCCGAGAGAGAACCTTTCGCGTGTGTAACAGGACAATAATTACGCAACCTCGTCTCCACAGATGCGTGCCGATATATGCATATTTATCATCCTTCTCCTCGCCGTCGATCTCGGTGAGTCGGGGAATGAAAGACACGAGGATACACCGATCCTGGTCCGATCTATTTTCGCACCAATTTACAAATATGTAAAAAAGAAAAGGGAAAGGAAATTCGTCGTCATTCTCGGACGAATGAAGACGATCGTTTAGATTACAACAAGCCTTAATTCCACATCCTAAGCGCACGTATGCAACAATCGCTTCTCCCCGTGCAAGGTATGTATATATGTGTCTCTCTCTATTTAAGAGGGAGGAATGGAAAGGAAGGTATGTGAGTGTGTTGTACCGCGTATATACATACCGTCTACAATGTCCGAGGAGAAACGAGGATTCGCTCACAACCATACTTAACCAGCAGTCAGTCGTGTTATATTAAAAATCGTGACTTCGCGCTTGAAAAATCGGCTAAAAAACTACGGGCTAAACTTTGCAACATGGTTGCAGCAGAATATTTATTTNGTTATGTATGTCTTACCATTCCCTAGATCAAGAATTGCACAATTTTCAACTTTACTTATATATATATATATATATATATATATATATATATATACATACACACACACACACACACGCACACACACATACGCCAACATGGACTCAGCGGCAGGACAGTGATATAAATACGGAGACTGCTCGCGGTTCTCTATCAACTTCTCGCGCGTGCACGCACGCACGTCTTCTCTTCGCGTCTCTTCTTCGAGGGATTACAACATGCGCCGGTACTTTCCCGCACGCTGGATCACGCAAACCATCATTCTCGCGGGGACGACTCGCAGACGCGTTATGAATAATCGCGCGGCTTCTTTCTTAACACTTCTCTTTCTCTTATGTACAGTGGGACACAATATTACAACTTACGCGCAAAAAAAAAACCACGAATCAGCTCGTTAAAAGCGCCTTCGGAGCTAGTTAATTTGTTGACGTCGCTTCTTCTCGACTCGTTCTCTTTCCACACACGCAGCATCATCATGTACACGCGGATACCTCACTGTCAGACATTCATCGGGCATCCGCGCTGACCACTCACTCTCTTTCTTTCTTTCTTTTTTTTGCCGTTTACACATATAAACTGTAGGATGTACAGGTAGGATGACAGTGTCTTGGTTGTACCGACGATCAACACGTCGCGGCACAAGCTTTACAAAAGGAACGATATTCTCGGTGCTTCCAATGGGAAGATACAAATAATAAGAGAGAGAGAGAGAAAGAAAGAGAGAGAGAGAGGAGGGGGGAGGGTTAGTTCACAGAATACAACCTAAATTCTGATCTCTATTTTAAGCGTATCACTTTTCGAGACGTCCGACGGCGGGTGTACACTCTCCCTCTCTTTCGCCCTTTGTTCGTTTTGGTCGTGCGAGTCACACGCACGACGCCGAGTGTACAGTGCGACCTATCGACACGCAATAGCTCCGTAAGTACATGGGTTTCTGTCGTCGGACGCGCTTACTCAGATTACTACTCGCGTGGTCAACGCGCACGGGCGTGTATTTTGCGTTCTCTCTCTCTTCTTCCTTTTTAACAAGGTACGATTTTTACGTATGTGCGCACGTATCTCTCGGGAAGTGGTGGTGGTGCGAAGTTCGTCAGACAGACTAGTAGATAAGAGTGGACACCTTTGGACATGACACACGGGTCTCACGTTCATCGCCTCCTCGCGCGAGTCTTCGTCGTTTGATCCGCCGCCGCTCGTCGTGCCTTCCTGCAAAAAGAAACGGACAGGTCTGAGTGATGATTCCCGGCGCCCGAAACGGGATTTTGAGATCTTGCGCGTGTGGAAGGAATCTCACGGCAATTTCTGCGCTTAAAGTCGAATCGCCCGATTTTGTTTCTTTCTTTCTTTTCTCAGTTTGACCGTCATTTGTAATTTTTATTCTTCTACACTTATATCTTCTTTCTAACAGTACCCTTTATTTACTGTTCGTTTTGATTTTTCTCATGTCTAATTCACATCTTTAGAGGATAAACTTTAGAGAATATTAATATCCAGGAAAGAGAAAAAATCTCGATGAAAAAATTTCGTTCAAAATGATGAGAAAATGGTTGGAAATTCACTTTTTGATCATGATTTCATCATTTTCTCGTCATTTTCACTTCACTTTGATCTAATCGTGATTTTCTCTTCTACCTGGACGAACACTCTTATCTATCTTTCTCTTTGTAACGTAATCGGAACTCATGAATTTTCCAACACTACTCTTTGTTATTCATTTTAATTTTTCCCATATTTAACTCATGTCCTTAGAGGGTACACTTCAGAATATTAATACTCAGGAAAAACAGAAAATCGCAATGATATTTAAATGGCGAGTAAACCCAAACAGAACAAAAAGTCATAATAACGTAAAAATAACAATAAAACGTTTTCTAATGGTCATTTTTTTATTACGACAGAAAATTGATAAAATTATGACTTTGGAATATATAATTTTTTCCAAATAAACTATTTATTCAATATATTTAAGTTGCACATATTAGTAACTATATACAAAATTGTTCATGCAAACAATATTCTATTTATTGTAATTACAATTTTGTTTATATATAGTTAATTAAAATTACAAGTTAAAATTACCATAATTCTAAATACAAGTAAAACTTTCTTGCAATAGCAATTTATTTGTAAGGAATAGTTGCGCATTTTTAGGCTGCATTCCAATATTCACTGCCAGTTATCTAAAAATCTGCAATAACATGAACTGTAAGTATTCAGTACTGGCAGTGAATATCGGAACGTAGCCTTTAGAAGAAATATAAGCAGTATGGATGACTTAAAGGCATTCAATGTCCCATGAATAAAGAAATCATTAACAAGTCATGATGCAGTCACGATAAAACAATAAATTATTGCTCTACTTAAAATATTAAATGACATCACTTTGATTTTCTATAAATAATTACTTTTTGACGTCATCTTTATGTCATTTCGACTTTTATATGACTTTTTGTTCTGCCTGAGAATGATTATGAAAAAAAACTTACTTTTCAATTACGATTCGATCATTTACTCATCATTTTGATATCATTCTGATGTAACTTTCTCTTCCACTTGAGCAAATGTTTTTACTTTTCTCCCCGTAACGTAATCGGAACTCTAAATTTTTCCCGGAACTTACTTGATCGTTCGATCAACACGGCAACTCAGCTTCCAGGGCCCTCGCTCTCCCATGTCTCCCTCGAGTTCGCATATATTTTTTCATCTCAAGTGTCTCTCGTAGGAATCTTCTCTGCTCCTCCCTATAATGCTCTCCTCTCCTCACGACACCATGGGGAATAACGATTGAGTAAGTTCGCAGCGGAGATCGTCATTACAGTTGAATCTTTTACATTATTGCTCCATCATTAACACTGTGCTCGAGTTTTTCTCTCTTTCTTCGGCTGCACTTCCTTCCTTTCGTTTCCAGACCAATTTTTCCAAGTTATTCTGTTTCCCCTTTTCTCGTCTTGTTTTTTTTATTTTTCGCACGCAGCAGCTCCTCGTCGCTTCGTCGAAGAACATCGAAATAGATTTGGAGCGCGGATCGGTTAGCTCCTCTCTCTCATCCATCTCTCGTTCATTGAGAATTATCGCGATGACACGTATGGAGCAAGAAACAAGTACTGTCCACGAAGAAATGCACTCTCTTCGGTGGAGGAGAATTCGTATCGAAAGAAATCGTGTTTCCTTTTCTTTTTGCTCCTCTCTCCTTTTTTTCCGCGTTCCTTCTTCCTTCCGTTTTCCTTCTCGTTTCGTCTAACTGATATACACACTGGCGGAGCACGAATCGACTGCGGTGTCACGTAATTTCAACTTGTTCGCATTTTTACATGCTACTAAACTTTCATTATATACGCTAGAGTCTACAAGACAGAAAAACCTTACTTCATCGATATGTTATGTAAAATGTAATTATTTTCAATTGTCCTCACGATAGATCACTCTCACATATGATAATTTCTCGTCTCGGAAGGCATGAAACCGAAACTGATATTGCTTTGGAAAGTGCAGGAGGGGGGGGGGGGCACATTTCGCTGGCGCGATTAGCGTCTGGAAATTTGAAAGATGCGAGACGGAGGAGCGAGTGGCAGATGGAATCCGCTGAAAAAGTAACAACGATCTCGCGCAAATCTCGCGTCGAAGATGATGTTATTTACGTACGAGAAGATATCTCGCGCTCTTCAGTCGGAGGAATGAGTATATCACGGCGGTCAGCCCGGCGCGACGGTGACGAAATTATCGGTACGTTCATGAGAGTAGAACTCTGTGTAGAAAAACGACGGGCAGTGTAAGAAACGCGAAAGAAAGCACTTCGACAATTAATTCGAACGCCGCGGACTGCTAAAGACAAGGACACAACTCCACGGTATCTCGTCTCTCTCGACGAAAGACGCTTATATAGTGATGTAACCGCTAATACTGCTCTGCTCTCTTCTTTTCGTCCTCTCTCTTGGGACTACGACCATGCACCACGCGGAATTAACGTCGCGAAATCGTTTGTTCGCTGTACAAAATGCTCGCATACTAGAAACATACTCTAATACATCAGAATCGTCATCTCATGTGTCTCTCTTGGATGAAAAAAAAAAAAAAAATGAAAGAACTCGAAAAAGAAAATAAATACAAGCTAACGAAATTAGGGAGTATTCGCTTTGTAAACAGTATACACCCTCGCGATTCGTGAGACGATTCTTCTACTCGCGAACCCGGCGAAAGGGAAATGAGAATGGGGAGAAAGGTAGAAGAATACTTATCGTATGTACAAATTCCGTACTCTCGATCCCATCCCGAGGTGCCGAACGGCGGAGAGAGCGCGATCGTCGTTTCAGTTTCATGCCTTTCACGGATCACTGTATAACCGGGACTTCGCGACAATCGAAATCTCTCGATCGATACAAGTCGGGCGGGGAGGAAGGGATCACACTATGCTCGATTATCGTCCTGCGGGGGGGCGTGTGAATACAATGAGATCTGTGTAGCTTCGATTCGTTTACAATTCAAGTATACGATAACGCGGTGTGTTTTCGCCGCAACGAGCCGCAACACGTGAGAATCGCGACGCGTATACAAACTATATCGCAATATACGCGGCGTATATTAAAAAGCGTCCCTGTGGTACAAGGAGAGAGTCGTAGGCACAAACAAGTTCTCTCAGCATCATCGGTACGTCAATTCCTTACTCCTACTGTGTAATGCGGGATGATGATCCGGGCTTTTACCAGTGACGAACCGTCGTCACGGCCGCCGTCGACGGCCGTTCTCTTTCTGAGTCAACGGCGACATGCGTCGGTGCGATGACATACGTCGATACGCAATCAACACGCTGACCGCCACGCTGATTTTCACGGATTATTTCAACGCTCAACTGAAGTCCGATTCACCAAAAGGTAAACACACACGGTAAATAAATGTGTAGTAATCCGCGAAATGTGTTCATATATGTTCGTTAGCTCGTTTCATCAGCTCCATGTTGTCCTCGTTACATACTTCATTTGTTATATATGCAATTGGTTTAGAAATTAATGAAATGTGATCAATATTATCGCGCCGCTCACGAGTGACCCCCTCTCTTTCCCTCCATTACGTGGCAGTCAACGTGTTAATGGACGATGAGGAGGACAGTGATGATGAGGATGATGATGATAATGAAAGTCGGAACGGTGATCGTGAACAACGATCATGATGATGATTGCGAAGGATCAATGTAATAATAATAATATTAATAATAATAATAGAGCGTAATATATAATAATGATGAAAAATAAAATAAAATAATAATAATGAAAGATATATTGTAATAATAGTAATCGTAGCACTAGTAGAGTAGTAATAGTTGTAGTAATAGTAGTAGTAATAATAGCAGTAGTAGTAGTAGTAATCCGTAAGGGCAGCAACAAGATGAAATGTAATCATGACAATAATAGCAATTATAATAGCACGAGATCAGCCTTTCTCGGCCATAAACGAGAGGGATCGTTCGGTAAGTAGGTGAGTGGTGGATTCGCCAAACGCCTCGACTCCTATATCAGTGGCTCGAGGCCACGAGGAATATTCGTCGACTTGTTCACGACGATAGGGCAGGACAGCTGGAAGGAAGTATGTACCGGGTCCGATCACAGGAGCTGATATCTGAAAAGATGGCTGTCGATGGCCGAGGATGCATTTACCGAATCAATCGTGGATTTAATCCTAGTGGAAATTTCAATAGAAATCTTATTACCGTTGAATTCGCACGATTCAACGGTTTAAAGGACGAGAGGTCGCGTATCAGCGAACGAACGCTCGGCTAAAACCTGCGTGATCGCAGCGGAGAGCCGCCGCGGGGATCGCTCGGAACCAGCACCACGCTACGTCCAATTTGACCCGTTAAAATTGCAACAAACTCCGCCACGCGCTCGTCACTCGAGAGACACCAGCGATTAATCAATTTCCCCCGTGCGGGAAAAGCAAACTCTCCGCATCAGTCGCAAAGTGCATCGCTCCACCGACCCTGTGTCTCATCTGTTCAAACGACACTCCGTGTATACAGCGAACGACGTGTAAAAAGAAGAAAAAAACCAGGGTGAGAGAAACGAAGGAAAGTCTCCGGCAGCTCTCGTGTGAGTTTTAATGAAGGTTCGGTAATCAAGCATTCGAGCAGCGAGTCTAGAGTCTTAAGTAAACGCCGATGAACTCGAGCCGATCAGTCGCGCGCGACACGCTTTCGTTATACACAGAACAGTACCTAGAACGATTCTAACTGCAGTGATAAACAAAGTACCACGGAACTCCGACGCACTACACCGAGAAGTCATCATCGGCCGCGACGACCATGAGCGACTGGTGGAGGAAGGCGAACAATCCCCCTTGTCGTCGTCGTCCTCGAGTCCGCTTATCTCTGCCGAAAAGCTCGGCCGGTGAGAAAAGCGCTTTCACTCTCGATCCTCGACAGTCCGCGACGACCGTCCACCGGGTCACAAATGATAACAGCAACGACAGACGGGTTAGGATGTTTCCGACGATGGTGGTGGTGGTGCGCTGGCTCAGTTGGACAGCGGCGGCGGCGTCGGTGTCGGCGTCATCGTGACGGTGGTGTGCAGCACCGAGTCCCGGGACGCCGAGCGGCTGCCGACGCGCAACAGGGTGACGGCTTCCCTCTCAGGATCGGCGCTGCTGGAGTCCCTGTTGCCGTCGCCCAATCCTCCGCCGGCGACGCGCCTGCCGCCCGTCCTCGACGTCGCCACGGCGGTGAGTCCGCCGCGCGCTCCGGCCGCCGCCCCGGGCTGATCGGCACTATTAACCGCGCACTGCACCGCCCCCCCGAGACCAACGATAACGGACAGTCATTTCTGCCTTCCACTTTTCTTCTTCTTGCGCTTGAAGAAGCAACAGCATCTGGAAATGAAGCAAACACTAATAGGACTTAGAGTCGTCTCCTTGGCAGCGTCTCTCGTTGGTCGACACCGACATGCAGCGGGATACAGAGAGTGCGGCATTCTGAACGGCCGTGCAGAGAGTTCGCGGGTTATCGCCGATCGCGAGAGAATGCGGTCGTTAGTGTCTACATGTTAATCGGGCGCGATTAACATGCCGGTCGTTGCATAGTCTCTCGAGGTCTTCGCATGAAAAGCCGCGGATATTTATACTCGGAAGCTTACAAAAGCGAACTCCAGTTACCTGTCTGTGTGAGGATGTACGGAGGAGAGTCAAAAAATACGGAGGGATGTGAGAGCAGAAACAACGTCTACAGGGTGCTTGACGCAAGCCGTGCCCCATCCGTCATATATTTGTAGTTTGGGTCAGTATGAATAAAAAGATCTTCTATCATTTTGTAAACAATCATCAGGCAAAATTATTTTGCAAACAATCGTCACGCAAAATTATATCTAACGCTCAGTTTGGGGTCGACCCCAGCGTCTTATTTATTTTATAACATGCACGCGCTGTTTCTCTGCGTTAGGAATGTTTCATGTTATCATTTGCTTTTTTTACCTATTTTGCACATTGATCGAATGAAAAATGAAAACAAGTCGAATCCAATCTCATTCTCCTGGATACGTTGAAAATCCTTGCCGTTAAGAGGGTTAATTATTGAAAATTGTCGTGTATGGAAGCTTCTTTAATTGATATCTCAAAAATTGCGTGGTTATTTGTAAAATTGTAAAGGACTTTTTCGTTTAGAATGGTCTAATCTGCAATTATATGGTAATATTGCAAATAAACACGCAAATTTTTGAGTTATTAATTAAAGAAGCCTCTCAATATATGGCCATTTTCAGTAATTAATAAATCAAAATTTTGAGTGATTGTAAAATGGTAGAGAATTTTTTATATTGATCTAAACTACAAGAATATAATGATTGGCAAAGGCTTGCGTCAGATAACCGGTATATTTAATCGTTCATTATCTTGAGTATAAATTGTTGTGAGTACCATGCGTCCCTGAATTCTTTGATTTTTCATTCAAACCGCCCCGTAAATTCGCAGCGGCGGAATGAATGTCTAACATCGTTATTCGGATTGTGCGTCTGTAATAGAACAACAAAGAGGATCAAGGAAGCGGAGTAACAAAAAGAAACAAAGGACGTATGAAGAAAAAAGTGTATACTTTTAATAAAGGGAAATAAATGCACATATACATGTCCTGATACACTTGATTAGATAGTATTATCCGTAACACGGTACGCGTCATACAAGACTGATAATATAAAATTTCTACAGATAATAATAATAAATCTAACAGAACACGGTTAACGAATGTTGTATTTTCTCCTGATGTTGCGCAAAAAAAAATCTTGAATTGGCCATTTATATTGGGGCAACAAACCTAGTTCGGGAATGGGATTGGTTCTGGAAATATATGCTTGTAAGGATCGTAACAACAACTTTCCACATCGAGGACAGGGTTTGCGTATCAGTGGAATTACTGTTCTGAAAATAAAAGCCACAAGCAGAGCTTAGAGCAAGCCCCTTGACACATCCATTCAATTTATTTATATATATGTACGCATGCTTATCTCTCTATTGTTTTCATTCGAACGTTCAGAGTCCTCTAACACATGCTGTTAGATTGTCCGTACGTGTCTTATTAATTAAGCTCTCCCGACGATGATTGTTCTAATGAAATTTAATAATACATTGCGTATGTAGAAACGTATAGCGGCAGTGCATGCACAGTGAAACTCGCTCGCTCGAAAGTTTATCGTATTTAGAGCAATACGGACAAAGAGACAGACTGTGATAAAATAGACTGCTACTAACTTGGTTTCGTCGATCATGTCCACTTCCTGAGGCGCCGTGATTGGTGTGTTGGAGTGGCCAGCAGTCGGATCGTCGTTAGCCAGTTCCCCGTTCGTGGACGATACCACCTATATACATCACACGATATTATTGCGAATCAATCTATATGCAAGGGTACAAAAGGGTCTTATACAATAAAGGGTATTTTGCATCTCCATGTAGGCTTTACTTTTCGTTACTATCGTGAGAATACACGGAAAGAATCGCAATTCTACAGACTGACGGAAAGAGGGGACTACGAGACGTGATACAGATCACAAATTAATTTGTCCAAAGGTCTACTTGCAAGTTATGCTAGATAAGAGGAACTAGATAAGAAATCTTACAAAGAGATGAGATGTTGAAAAAAAAAGAACAAAAAAGAGAGAAAGAAAGAGGAAGAAAAGAAAGACTATTGCGAGTAGGACCGATAAAGCAGTATTTTCTAAAGAATAAAAAAAGGAAGCGTAAATAACTGTACTCCGATCTTTCTTCGAGAGAGTTACACGATTCGTGACAACGACACTCTTGTTATTGTAAAGTGCAGGGTGTGTGGGCAAACGGTCGTAATAATACCGGATTAGTAATTTCACGTCCAATCAAAGAAACAAGGTAAGAGTCGAGATCAATCGACACAAAGACAACATGCCGCAACAAGTCAAATTGCACAGACTTCTAACTAACTGACCATAATCCAGTGGTGCTTTGTCTAGAAATAGAGCGAATAGTTTACTCCTGGTATAGAGACTGAGACATCTTGTATAAGTCGAAAGACGTTATGAGATAATGAAAGAGAGAAAGAGAGAGAGAGAGAGAGAGAGACACAAGGAAGGAGATAAGAGTCACAGGAAGAGACAATGAACGATTCGTCGTTAATCAATGAGTGATCAGTAGCGCATATGAAATCACACACTCACACACGCATACACAGACGCGAAATATCCCTCGAAATCTACACGGTGGCCACGGAAACCTACGGAGACGGGGAAATCGAGGAAGCTTTTCAACGTCGTCGTGAGCTTCGACGTCGCGCGTTCCCCTACCCCCCTCCCCCGACTGATCGAGAGTGAGCAATCGACCAAAACAAAAGGATGAGAGAAGACGCAAAGTAAGTCGAAAAGGAAAGAGCCGCTTTGGAAAATTAAGAGATGAGGAATGACACGAGAGGAAGATGAGAGAGGAAGATGCGCAGGTAAACTCACCTGTACAGAGCCGTGCCTGTCAGCAGGTGTCAATGTACCACCGGCTCCTGACTGCTTCACAGTATCTGGCCACGTGGCTCCCACCCCTTTACCGCCCCCACCTCCCACCCCTCCACCTGCCACGTCCTGAAGGAACAAGCATGACAAATATCGCAGTTGCGTCGCGTTAAGCAATTCCGCGGAGTTCAACGGACAGTTAGAGAAAAAAAATATGTCGGAAACGTTCCTCACAGAGAGAGAGAGAGAGAGAGAGGGAGGGAGGGAGGGGGGAAGAGGAATGGAGGGAACCGTCTCGGTGAGAAATCTCTCGGAGACAATGACCGTGACGATTAGCGAGAGCAAATTCGCGAGTATGATTCGTCGGAACGATCACGGGACAAGTCCTAATCCGATATTAGTCTCTGCATTGCGGGGATGAGTGAAAGAGAGAGAGAGAGAGATAGAGAGAGAGAGAGTGTGTGTGTGTATGTAATTCACTGGTCGACGGCAAGTGAAACGACTATCTGTGCGCGGTCCCACTGCCTACCGCTCAAATGTTTTACGTATATCTCGTATGGGCGAACTACGGGAAGATGGTGAGAAAGATTTTCTGACTCTAGCTTGTTACAAAGCAAGGCTTCGGCGCTAAGTAATCGTGTCAAAGCGACTTCCTCGTGCATGAATCCACCGCGGCGTCGCGGGTCAAAAGAGGAAGAGTCGCCTGTCACACTGAGCTCATATCGATATTCGATCATTCCCAGTCGACGTTAACCGGCAGAATTTCAGTCATTCTTATGAACCCGTCGATCGTCCGTTCGCCAAATAGTCACACTCTTATATTGACTACGTGATAAACACACGCGAGCCGCTTTATGGCTTATGCGAGACTCCGCGCGAGAGACGTCGTCGAGAAAACACACGCGGGTGAGTTTGTGCGGCCGGCGCTCGTTAAATCTCTGTTTTACGAGCTTGAAAGGAAAACTCATTAATAACGCGCATTATACAACGCGAATGTGTCTCTCGGAGAGCGGTGGCATCATCTCCTCGTCGATAAGATAAAGAGCATGCACGAAGAAGTCGATTCATCGAGGCGTAACCTAGAGAGATGTCTTACATATTGGCCTTGCAATTCGAAGCGAACCTCATCCATCATGAGGACTACGTCCTCCTCAAAATCATCGTACTCCTACAAATTGACATCGTGATTCGCACTGGACTCGTGAACAGAGTGAAAAACGGCGATGTGTGGCTGTCTTTTTTTTGCTTTCGCTCTCCCCCTTCTCGACATTGCGACATCTAGGCAAATCCGCTAATCTAGGCAAACCCCCCGCGAGCAAACGCGATCGAGAGCTTCTCTTTTCGGAGTGAGAGAGAGAGAGAGAGAGAGAGGGGGGGAGAGGGAGAGAAAGAGATCTCGTTTTAGTCTCTCTCCTCTCCACCGAGATTGTAAACGGTCTGAATCAAGGTCGTTGTTAAAATTCTGTCTTTCGTCTTTCGCTAATGAGGCGTGTGTCCATGCGGTTAACAAATAGATAGGCTGCACACGTTCATGCTCGGGTAGAACGGCGGTAACGTAGGTATACCTTGTAAGCGGCGGGATGCCGGTCACGATTGGGCGACACGACGATCTCCTGGCCGGTTTGAAGAGACCCGACGGGCGTGGACTGAAATGAAACGGAAAAAGGCTCGTTTTAGATACTTCGATCAGTTAACGAGACGATGACGAAGGCGACGTCATTATGTACGCTCCTATGTATCTCACGTAAGAAGGTGCGAAGTGTATGGCTATAACATACTTGGGGCTGGAAAGCGAGCATAAACTTATCGACGGACTGTGCACGCACTTTAATTTACTCTTAACAGAAGACCTGGTGACATCACAATGCGTTAGACTTAGATAAGGCCGATCGGGCGGCAATTATGCGACTACAATGGAATCGGCCGGTATTTATTGCAACAACAAAACGTGACAATGTTCGATTAATATTTAACGTTGAAAAAAGAAAGGAAAGAAAATATATTTGAGATTTCAAGACTAAACCGGCAACATCTAGCGGCGAAATAATGTATCTGGCCGTACAGAAAAAAATAGTCTTGAATCAATAATAGATATTTTTTTTTATATAAACAAGAATTTTATAATATTATATTTTTAGGCGATTTTTAGTCTTGAATTGAGTGCAAATAATACTTGCATCGATGCAAATTCAATTAAATCAAGACTAAAAATCTTCTAAGAAGATTATAATCTTGCTTACATGAGAATATCTATCATTGATTTGAGGCTAAATTTTGTTTCCCGTACCCGTTTCCCCCATGGGAAATTACACATCGCGGAGTGATTGTACAGCAAGAGAGCGCAAAAATGTCAAAGATCAATTACTCTCGGTACCGATATCTGCCGGCGGGGATTCCGTCACCAACCTTATCGGATTTGGTTTTGCCGATGTGCGAGGGGGCCGCTATCCGCAACACTCTCAGATTCTCGAAGTTGGATGGCTAGAGATAGTGCATTGAAGAGGGGAGGGGCAGCATGCAAACGTTAAAAATCAGTTGTGAGAGCGCTCGCCGGTACCGCGTCGCGAGTCTGTTGGGACATTGGCGGACGACTTACTTACCCAATGTAAACCGATTCGGACACTTTCGCGGACAAGCGATTAACACGTTGAGTGCCACGTCAGTCACCGGTGACTGACACTGAACTTTCCGTTTAGGCCGCGTGAGTCACCGGTGACTGACAGTATAAAGTACGATATAAAACTAAAAAAAATTACATAGTTTAATAAGTAATTTCAGAATCGTATAATTAATATACTTAAATATTTCTTATCAAAAAATTTTAATGGATTTGGCCTGACGGAGATTTCCTCCGAAATGCGCGTGGCAGTTAACGTGTTAATTGAACTTCTGAGAGAAAGGACTCGCGAGGGGGAGTAATCGTAATGTCCGTTGCGTCGAGAAAACCGCGTCTTTTGTCATAGCGCGCGTATCGCAAAGTGTGCGCGTGCGAGTGTTATCGCGGAATGTGAAAATAATTCACGACGCGGCTTACTTCGCGACTCACTTCGAGCAGAAACGATTGAGTAAGAATTTAGTAACCGATATCAACTGGATTATCCAATTGCATTAGCGTGGTAGCGCGAGCGCAGACAAACAAGCAATATGAAAAAAGCAAGAACACCGTGTTCTTATACACATTAGGCAGAAAATTATACGCGTGACGTCAGCGCGAGGCCACAGTTATCGACTTGAATATTTCTTTTTTCTTCTTATTGCACAGCGCGACAACGGTTATCAGCGCGGTTCTCTGACACAACCTGTCAACGTGAACGGACACGTTGACATCGCCGATTTCCCCGAGTGCAAAGCAACATGCAAAGGTGACATCCGCCGCCCGAGAAAGCTTCCTTTACCGAGGCTCTTTGCGCAACGCGAGCGGGGAATCCCGACGGGCTCAATACGCACCATCGGCTTGCCGGTCCAATCGAACTCGCCGTCGTTGACGAAACCGCGTCTCTCGTACAGGTCATGGAAGAGCTTCCTCAAGTATTCGTAGTCCGGCGTCTCGAAGAAGTCCAGTCTACGGACGTAACGGAGATACGTGGCCATCTCTTCGGGATGGCCGTCGCAGAGCACCTCGATCGGCGTCGCTCGTTTCGTGTCGCCGATCTTCTGGTAGCGCTCCTTCAACGTGTCGGCCTTGAGCCCTTGCCACGGCAAGCTACCGCGCAGGAAGTACATGAACATGTGCCCGAGCGCCTCCAGGTCGTCCCTTCTGCTCTGCTCTGTTCATCAGAACAACAATGGCGCACATTTAACCCTTATCTCTATGTAATTGTCCATATTATTTAGTTGTATAAAAGGTAATTTCGAATATTTATCATTAAATAAATACTTTTATTTATTATATATGTATTTAATTAATAATAATATATTACTAAATAATACTTATTTATTTGTTACACATTGGGAGAGTTGTGTAATAAATAATTTCGTATTTTTTCAAATAAAACAAACCGTTTGTATTTTCATGTTGTTATAAAGATTTTATCTGAAATAAATTCAGATAAAATCGAACGTTTGCATTTTTATGCTTCATAAATGTATGAAACGTGTATGCAAATAATGGCGAAAAACCATAGGTCAATATGACGCATACATTGTATTAGCCTATTGTATTGGCCTATTTTACCCATCGTTCTTTATAACAACATGAAAATACAAACGGTTTGTTTTATTTGAAAAAATACGAAATTATTTATTACACAACTCTCCCAATGTGTAACAAATAAATAAGTATTATTTAGTAATATATTATTATTAATTAAATACATATATAATAAATAAAAGTATTTATTTAATGATAAATATTCGGATACTCGCTTTGAAAGTGCAAGATTGATTGTAAAGATGTACGAGAGAGATGTTCTAAACATATCTCGTAGTATCCGCGGAGAGGATTAAACGATTCCAGCGTTTCCGACACTTTCTCGTAAGCGCGCCCGCGGTTACCGTGGCGCGCGATTTACCATGCAGCGCACACAGAACGAAAGAAAAGTAAACGCCCGTTACCTTTGCCAAGATGCGTGTTGATGCTCATGTAACGCGCCGTACCAGTGAGACTCTTGTGTTCCCGATAAGGAATATGTTTGTTTGTCTCCAAGTCTATGTATTCTTTGGCTAGTCCAAAATCGATTATGTGAATGATCTTTTCCCGCTTGGTAGTGGATCGTCCTATCAGAAAATTTTCCGGTTTGATGTCGCGGTATATCAAATGCCGACTATGAACGTATTCTATCCTATGGAGCTGTGGAAAAGAAGAAACACATTAACGTTTGTATCCACGTACAACCGAGCTTTCTTTTATAGCAACAATTTTTCACGTGAATATTTTTCAAGCAAAATTATATGGATTATATTGTTCTCGCGCGTTTTATTAAATTGTTGCAATATAATCGAATTTGTCATTACATTTTCAAGCGATTGTTTTCCAGCCAGATAGGACTTTCATGGTTATCACAACATGAGACAATTGAATATGGAAACTCGACAATATTTTAATTACATTTATGGAGCAAATATATTGAATTAATCATTAAATTGATATCATGCAACGATGACAATTTTGTATTTTATTGATGCAGCAACAGATTCACTGAAATACTACTTTCAGATTTCCAATTTATATTTTACACATGAAACTATTTCGAATAAATCTTGACATATTTTTCATATTAAAATTCATATAGCTATTTCATCATTTTATGTAATAAATATAACTTATAAAGGATACAACCGTTACACATCGACTAATAAAGCTGCTGCCAAATTTACTGCAGACTGTCTAAATCTGGACACGTTAATGTTCTCGAGATACACTTCGAGAACACGATGTCCCTCAAACAGATAGCAAATGAAAATAAAAGATTCACGGAGGAGCGATAGACGATCGAAGCTGCGGGGTTCGTTGGACTCCCGCGGTCTGACGCTCTCGCGCGACTCTCCTCGGAGAAGTGCGATGTTCGATAATTAATTTCGCGCCGGTGCGCCCGACTGTCGCCAGAATCGTTACGATAATTCGACTTACGAGCTGTGTGGCAATGTTGAGAACGGTCTTGAGGGTGAACCTCCTGCCGCAAATGTCGAAGAGGTCTTCGAGGCTCGGCCCGAGGAGTTCCATCACCAGGGCGTTGTACTTCCCGCACGGGCCGAAGTAGTACACCTCCGGTATACCCTCTAGATTTGTGTTACAAACTATACCGAGATTGAGACGAAACAAAACAAAAGCAAAACAAAATAAAGAAATATTACCCTGCCCAGAGAAATGCAAACGTAGGCATTATATTCACGATTAATATTAATTAACCGTGCGTATCGCCTCGCACGTACGTACGTAAGAACGAGCCGCGAAACGCGTGGCGGCGGTATGTAGGTCTGGCAGTTAATAAACTCCGCGACGACGGCGACGCGATCTCTCGCTGACAACACAATCGAGAATACATGTACACGCGAGAGAACTCGAAGTTTCCGATTAACTCTTCGTGGAGCGACGCAAATATATAACGTAATATTTCGCTGCGCCGAGATCCGCGACACTTGGTGAATTCTTCGCAAACGACTTCTGCGATTTGTACCGTTATCAAAGATAATTGCGACCCGGCAATTCAATTCTTTGAATTCCAGTTTTTTTACTCGGGAAATGTAGTGTTAACAGAGGTGTCGGAGAGAGATAGGTGTAGATAGCATCTCGAAAGTTTGGTTTGGAAAATGGTTTCAGCGGGGAAAGTAAAAAAATGTTAAAAGAAATTGAAAAAAAAAAGTGTATGATGAAAATTCAGTCTTTTTCTTTCAAAATAAATGAATTATAACTATAACACGCACTCCGAAAGTGTTTTAGCAAACGACTAGATAAAGAAAATCATATAATCAAAATATTTTTCTTTTTAAAGTTATTATATACTGTATACTTAAGAGGTAGTTTATCCGTGACAATATTGTTAGAAAGATAATAGCTAATACAATACAAGAAGCTCGACGAATCTATGCTAATGTTTATAAACATGATTTATACAGCTTTCACACTCTATAGAAGAATATCAACCAAATTTATATGTTTAAAAACTTACAATGTTTCAAAACTTATAAGGAAATAGCTGTTTATCGCGCTTTGACATATATATTTTTTGCTAAGTCTGCCTATGTTAGGCATATGTTTCTAAATATACCACATATATCGTATATAAACTGGGTGATCAACGATCTTGTAATTTTTTTATAATATTTCTATAAGTCTGTCTTATCGTCTTCTCGTTTTTCATTAAAATTGTAAGAATAATTCAATTGCTAAAATTAAAAACGTGATATCGTGTTCATATCTGTCATACATGTAAATAATGTTAACTTGGACTTTAATTATTTCAACTTCGATATAGTCAAGCTCTTAATCTAATGTGTATGTAGACCATGTTTCGTTAATATGTTGTTCAAATTTGAAAAGATTCCTAAGAAAATAAAATTACGGACCAACTACTTGAAAAATACACCGAGACTTTCAAAACATTTATATATTTTAAATATAATATTTTTTTGGCAACGGATTACATATATATATATATATATAAAATCCTTCAAACGGATATAATTGAGAGAAAAATGTATTTTTCTAATGACACATTTAAAGAATAGATACGAACTGTCATGTTGTTTATCGAGCGCATCTACAAGAGAAGGTTATAACGTAGGAAAGAAACGTTTGAGCCGCGATAAATAATAACCTCGACATTTTCGCCGAGAAAAGACCAAATTAGCTGAAGAATCTACCATTGAGGAATAATGCAGTGTATGTGGAACAGTCTCTGTTACATGGAAACGCGATACGTTTGTTTCGCTCCCCCGATACAATCTCGACTCGTGACGCTAATCGCCGCGTCGGGCTTTATTCAAGAATGCAAAAATTACACGCGCGCTTGTCCCGTAATTTGGCTAATTCAGATCGCACAAAAATTGAAGGAAATTACACATTTCGCGTGCGCTGTCGTATCGAATCGCGCGCGGCTACGAAATTATTTCGTGTGCGACGTCACCGACAACGAAGGGTTAATGGCATTGACGTATCGAGAACAGTTTGTTCAGTTATCGTTATCGATTTATCCCAAGTGCCACGGAGTTATTAACTACCGCCGCCACTTCTCTGTAAACGTCTCTAATAAGTTGCGCAAGTCGATACTTTAGTTTGTTAAATTATTCGACGGTACGATACAGTTGCGGATTTCAACACACCGACGGATCACAATATATCTCACTACGTCCGATATTTTTAATTCTCATTAGCCAAAATATTTAACGTAAAACGTGACACTCACCATGTGAACCTAATAATTTGTAAAACCTATACTCTAAATGTAGCTGTGGTGCCTTTGACTTCATTGGTTCCTGCAATCGTGTAGAAAACCAAAAGTCGTTAAAGAGAATCCAAGTTTCTTCGCGTTTTGTAATTACACAGTAAAAAATCTTGCGTCTAAATGTTAAAATTTTTTTTGTGTTAACAACTTTTGATTATTAGTTCAATGTAAAATTAACATACAGTTGATATGTTATCATTTTCATGACGTTTTCATGTGAACATGTGTTATATTGTGTCAATTTAATAATTTAATAAGTTGATATATTATCATTTTCATGACGTTTTCATGTGAACATGTGTTACATTATGTCAATTTAATAAGTCAATACATTTTGTGTATCCTTTAAAAATGAAATGTTATTTCAAGTTCTCTTAACACAATTGTTTCGTTAATTTAACATATTGTGTTTGTTATCTCAACATTTTGCGTTAAATCGATACTCAACATGTCTAAATATTAGGATGATACATTTTACACTTCAGTGCCGATTAACAAAAATGTTAATTTTACTGAATATTACTGGTGATATTGTATATGTTAAAATTTACGTACAAGCTATGTTAATTTTACTGTAACAATTACCATCTTAGAACTTAGGTAATATATTGTAGCTAGACCACAGTAGTGGTAGATTACTTAAGATAGGCAACTCAAGATTTAAAATTCCCGAGTCGAGTCCCATTAGTGGTAAACACATTTTTCAAATACAATATTAATTTAATCATCTAAATGGTACATAATTAAAAAAAATTCAGGTATAGTCATTAATATCTTAAAAACGCGATTAAAAATCAATTTTTCAGTAGGAAAATAGCATTTTTGTTACATTTGATATTATAAATACGTCAATTTAACATAAAATTGTTTACTGTTTTTTTTAATTTTTTATAAATTAACATAAGTTAAAACGATCAAACTCTTTGATATTAGAAATAATAAAATTTGCTAAAATCGAACGTTATTATTACGAATAATTTAATTAAAATAATTAATATCATATATTGGAAAAAATGTATTAATATCAATTAATTAACATTTTCAATTTATGAACAAATAACACACGATGAATGAGTTATTTCAACTTAAAATTCAAAGTGTACTTTCTGGGACATGTAAAAAATGTTGTAATTAACATTTTATTTTTTTACTGTGTACGCAAATTATAAAAAAACAAATTAAAGCAACTTTGCCGCTCTTTGAGTACATTTTATCATGAAGACGTAAACTTTACTCACCATTTTAATTGCTACGTGCTCATTATTATACAGGTTCTTCCCTGCAAAGAGAAGGAAAAAATCGATATGTATATGTATGAATAGAATATCGGTGGGAGAAATATAATGAGGGATGAACCGCCGTAGGAATTTTGGTAAATAATAATAATATATCCGAATATTTCCCTGGAACATATTCTCTAAAGTAGAATTGATATATTCTTCATTAAAATACTTTATTTATAATTGATGATTCGGTTATAAGTAAGCAATTGCATTGCAATCGGTAAAATCTCGTAACGGTTCCCATTATTGATGAAATTTGCAAACACAGTGTCATACAGTCGCATACAAGGAGCATGGGAGCCGTTAATTTAATCACCGCAAACGTAGATTTGGTATAGCATAATAAATTTGTGTACTGCAGATTTTTCAGTGAAATTTTACTTCCACTGATCGAAATTAGAGTCCCTAGAAAGTAGAGTCTGCCTACTGACCGTCTATATTGGTTGAGTTTTTACTATTAAATGGCGGAACTAATAAGAAATAGCGCAAAAATAAGGCAAATTTGAACAGGAGAAGTAATATAAATGACAAAATAATCGTAATTGTCTCATTGTCATAAAAGTAAAATCATTTTATTAATTGTACACATTATTAATATGTTTATAAACATAATTTTATAAACATAATTTTTAAAGTGAAGTCTTCTAAAATATATGGAATTGAATAAAAATCATTTAACCGCATCGAATGCATAGCCATTGTTTTGCTGCTATAAATTACTTTCTTTAGTCGACTTTGACTCTTACTTATTTACATTTGTATTTTAATTATTTGTAATCATATAGTTAGTTAACTACTTTCTAAAGTTAGAATTCTAATTATAATCCGTTCGTTTTTGTTATAAATATGAAATAGATGTGCATGATTTATAATTTACTATGTTAATGTTTACTAGATTAATTTAATAGTGCAAGAAACGATATAATAATTTTACCTACACCACCACCACCTTACCTTACCACAAATATTAATGCTTTATTCAAAACAATATATAATTCAATCTATTAGGCATGGGTTCTGCGACGCGATAGACGCCATTTTATTACAAAACTGTTGCAATAGCCAAACTCTGTCTTCTAGGGACTCTAGTAGAAATCAGTGAAATATAAGACAGAGGAGTGACGTATGGAAGCGGTTCCACTGGAAAAACAGCAGACACTCACTAATTACCGATGAAATAGTCTCTTTGCTGACTCAATTAAAAATATTTTTACTGATTCGCCTTAAAGAAGTATACATATCGTAACACACACATGGGACTTTGGCGGTGAAGTTTCTCGTGAAGCGCATCGCGGAACGATGCATAGAAAAAGAAGACGCGTCATTTCGTGCGACGTTTCCAAATGTACACCGCGAATCTCTCGACGACGGTATAATCACGCGATAATTAAATGTCGCGCAATGGCTTGCACGTCGTGCTGATTGCGATGTGAGAAAATTAGATCGAGATCCGCGGCCACTGTGGGATTACGGCCGTCGGCAATTAACGCTTGCGCAAACTTTCCGAGGAGGTTCCATTTAATATAATCGCGTATCGAGTGATTGACATGATAATTTGTACTATTATCTGCAACGTAACACCGTGAGTCGCAACGGAAAACCACCGACGCGTATTTGCGAAATCATACCTATAATTTAATTCGACGTCGATTAAACGGATACAGAGCGATGACGTTAAATATTAATAACTGGCCCAGTAATATAATAATGAAGCGTGTACGCGATACGATGCGGTGGCTGAAACAATCGGCGTCATTTTGAAAGGGGCGCGGAAAGGGTAATATTATATTATACGTTTCCCGAATCAACAGAGCCGTTGATCGCTGCACGATTTGTGATTAAATATTTCTGAGCAAGCAAACATATTGAACACTGAGAAGAAAATATGGTTAATGTCGCTAAAATTATAATTATTTTCGGTCTTTTGTTCTAGCATAAAAGAAGTAGTAATAATATCAAATATGGGAGCGATTCAGCTGTCAAAAATAGCGAAAAAATTGAGTTTCATTCTTGAAAAAGTAAGAAAATAGTATAATGAGTCAGCTTTAAAAGAAGCGAGTAAAAGTGTGTCTTTTCTAAATAATTCGTACGTTAGAAATTAAATTGTTTATCTAATTATACTGTTAAGAGATCAAAAACCGACCTTGTAGTGAAATTTAATGAAGAGTAAAATTTTTTGTGATTTTTTCAGATACATTTAATGAAATAAAATAAAAATAATACTTGAGTCCAGTTAAGCTACGTTGCAATATATTTCCAGGATATCAAGATATACCAGATCTCTTTGTCAAACAAAAACAAATTTTAGAAATAAGAGACATTTAAATTACAGGTTTTCCGGTTGAAAGTAAACTAGTTAGTCAACTTTTTAAGAGTTTTTTAAGAATGATATTCAAAAAAACTAATACTCTAAAAACTAATACTAATTTAAAGAAAACAGTCAGGTGTGCTCATAATAATCATTGTCTGTTTTTCTGACACAACTGACAAAAGTAATTTAAAAATAAAATCACAATTCTTCACTTTATAGAAATTGTCTCGTTAGAGTCATTGTTACTTTCTATTTTCATTGAATCTTTTGTTTTGTCTTTAAAAAAGCTAGTTACTGAATATAATTTCTTGTGACCGAGTTTTTTTTTGAAAGGGTTCAAGTCGAATAAGAAAAAAATGAGAGAAATGTGTGTACATTTTTTTTCTTAAAAGTGAAGAAAAGTGAGTGACTCACATATGCCTGTAATATCCTTATAAGATGTTATTTTGTTATTATTACTAACACTATAGTAACAATTACTACAAAAAAAAAATGATTCTCCCAACTATAATTACTAATTTTTTCCTGACTATAACTACTAATTCTTTCACTACGTGATTATAGCCACAAACATCAAATATTTTTTCCATGAAGGCTCCGATGGTGAACAATTAGTAAAAATGATAGGTTAAAAGTCGTCGCTGGATAATTCAAATCTTAGAGAGATAACTAAAAATGGTTCAGATGTTGGCGACTCTTCTTGGACTGCCATTCTTACTGTTTGAATATTCCTGCTTTCAGAAACGCGGATGAGTCGTAGAGTACTCCGGTATTCCCCGGCATTCAAGGAAAGTTTTCGGTTGCCCGGCCGGCACAGAGCCTAGGGTCCTTGCCGATCATTCGGCGCGCTGATCTAATTCCGTTATAAATATGCATGAGAACATATGTCTCGTAATCTGCAAACGTGACTTATGGAGAAATGACGGAGAGGTGACCGGGATGGGCGCTAATAGAAGCCGGGTAAGGCACAAAATTCAATTTTGTCGGTGTTCAATTTTGTTCGCAGAGGCTTCAGCGCGAGATACGCCGCGAATCTAATAAATGAAACGCGTGTGCACCGAGTAGCGCGCGTTTTTCCTTTCTTCCTTCACTCGACAAGTAATCCACAGGAAATACGGGAACGGTTGCGTCGCAGTGCCATGCAAGTGTACAGCCGTTCGGCTGACGTGCGAACGAAGTGGAACGACAAAGAGAGAGAGAGAGAGGGGGGGGGAGGGAGAGAGAAAGAAAGAGGGAGATAAAGACGACGGAAAATGATAATGAGGAAACGAGAGAAGATCTCGAGAGACGCCCACGAGAGATGGAAAATCGAGGGAACGAGATTTCGTCCGGTGCGTTCTTCGCACCTACGTAAGTCGGTAACGTTGAACACGCGCGCGCCGCTAAAGCATAGACCCGGGGAGAATAATATCACGCGTCGTTGACGCGAGGAGGAGAAGAAGAGGAAGAAAAAAAAGGAGAAGAACGCGACGACGAAGCTCCCGATGCCACGTCGTGCAGAGCGTTCGCTCGAAAGCACAAGGCGCGCATTCCTGCGGCCACTTGCGCACCTACGGAGACATAAAGGATGCGGAACGCCGGAACGCACACGAAACTCTTCGCGGCGGCGAGGAGGGTCAATGACTCGCGTGCTCGCGCAATTAGCGGCTTCGATACTTTCGCGGTAATTAGCGCGACGCGCTTCTTCTCCTCGACGTGTTTTGCCGCTCGCTCGCTTGCTCGCTCGCTCATTCTGTCGTCCTCTCTCTCGCTCGCTCGCGCCGCACGCGCGATTATTTCGGATAAAAGTGACCACGCCCTTGTGCGTAAGGGCCAGCTGTTGCACCGTCGCCACGTACGACCCTGCGTCGACCGCGACCGTGGCTTCCTCAACAGGAAGCGGCGATGACTCGGTCGAATACCGATATCGCGAGGACGGCGATGTTATTGCTTAACCGCCAGATAGCCGCGGTATCTCTCTCCATTCTCTCTCCCCTCGAGAGTCGATTTCTTATTTTTCATACGACACACCGAGTCGATAATTCTTGAAAGGGAAAATAAGAAGGAGGGAGAAAGAGAAAAAGAAGCGTAAGACGCAATTAATCGCATAAAATAAGATCCGCACGTAAGATACGCTACGTATCCGAGCGACACGTTCCAAGTATGTTGCTGGATGTGCGCGCGCGCGCAAGAACGCTAAAAGGGAACGATCGATTGAACTTGCCTGCAAAGAGCCACCAAGAGGATTCTTTTATCGAGCGGCACTCTTCGCGGATATAACCAGTCTTACCGGTGTGAACGGCTGCCACGGGCTGCGACGAGCAAAAATCATCACGACAGAGAGCGTGGAAAACTATCGACCTGACAGCGCGCGCGAATCCGTACGAAGGTGCGGAGCGACATGAAGACCTGCGGCGAAACAAAAAGCGACGAGATACGCGGACTCCCGTAGCATCCTGCCGCCCGTATTGCGACGAGTATTACGGACAGGTTTCTAATATTCTAATGAGCTTATTTTGGACATAGATAGATAGGCAAAAATGATGCGCAGATCTGGGGAAGAAAAGGACAGGCGACAGAGTCGTCGTCNCCCCCCCCCACTCCCGCTCTCTTTCTACCTTTACGATAAAAAGTAATGCACTTCAGAGAGTGTTTTCGAACTTGTTTAGAAAAAACACTTTGTATTTATGTTAAATTTTTAATATA